AACTCTGTCAAGATGTAGCTGGATAGGTTCTGCCAGCACAAGGTTTGATGAGGAAATTTTGTTTCTTAATCTTTTTGTTCTACTTCTGATTGAGTTCTCTTCCTAGCCAGATGCAATGTTAGGGAAGCATGACTAAATCTTTTAGCTTTGTGGTGTTCATTGTGTGGATTCAGTTGGCTGAAATTGCTGGAGACAATTTACTTCTCAGAAGCTTAAAATATTCTGTGTCATAATGGAAAGATTTGCTGAGCAGATTTATCCCACTGAAATGTAAACATTTCAGTATTTGATCATAGCAATATATCCCTTCATCTGAGCACAAATCACAACAAACAGGACTGTCCTCTTTTTCTGAAAAAGTATGGGTTATGTAGAGGTTCTTCTGAAATCACTTAAATGCTGTTTCAACGATTGCCCCCCCAATCAGTGTTAAAAGAAAACAGATATATGAGAAAACCTTCCCTGTGCATAGAACTCCTTCCTGAGATAGCAGTACTAATGCCTAATCTTTCCAAACACTGGATGTTTGTATCCCTTAAAGTAGTTTGGTTTTCATAGCAGCTAATGGTCAGGGAACCATAGGAGGTGCACATCCCAGATGGTGAAAGCTCCTGTATGAGCTCTCTAATAAGGTTTCCTTTATTTTTATGTAATGTTTTTTCTCATTTTTACTGAAATTCACCGTTTTACTGAAAATCACCATTTCTGTTTTTCTTAAAACATTATTTAAGTACTTGACATAACGCTGTACATGTGTGTTAGAAAATTGTCACAGAGCATCCCCGAGATTAAATCAGTTAAAATATCCCCTCAGGTTGCAGATTTTCTGTAGAGAGAGTTTTAGAGAACAGACTTTCTTACAATGGGTAATTCTAATGGGTTTCTGCTAACGAGATCAAGCTGTGTTGTGTTTTGGCAAAAAACAGATTCACTCATATGAATGACAAGTTATTTTTCTAGAGCACAGGCAGCCATTTGCTTCTGCTTTGAGAAATGTTCTCACAATAGAAAGGAAAATACTTAGCAAGTGAACAGCATTCATATTTGCTCAGTATTGCTTCATTTTAGTAGATTTAGTTGAAAAGGGCTTCATGGGGTACAAGGAGTCATCAAATCCACTTTAATTATTTTCATTCTCTGAAACACATATTCGCTGATTAACAAGGATGACTCATTTGGCTTATTTTAGGTTTTACAGTCTACCTTGTGGATACATAAGCGTTATATGGAGCTCTGCTCATATATGCAATTGATTTATTGATTTATGTAAGTCCTTAAGCTCTCTTTGAACTGTGAGTCATTCATTCACTAGTGAAAGATAATGATTAAGCAAGTGGTCTTTTGACATCATAAGTGGGAAGAGGTTCTGAGAGTTAAAATGAAGTTAGGTGAATGGTCTAATACGAGAAACTGAATTATTTCATCACACTGGAGGTGTCATCTGAAAAAAAGTTATTTCAGTTAGCTCAGATCCTTCCTGATATTCTTTCAAAATGATTGCTAGTAGTGTGCTTTAGTCAATGAAATTACATTGTCAGAAATAATTAATTGATAGTGTGAAGTCTTTAGAAAAAACAATTATCAGTATGGCACATGCAGCTTTTGTCCCCTAGTCTGTCTTAAAAGTTGCTTGTGAGAGACTCATTAGACTGAGAGCAGCTTGTAATAAGTCACTTTTTTCCCCTACTTTTATTACTTGGCTCAGGAAAATACATGGGAATAGTAATTATCAACTTGGTTATGTAATCCATAGAGCCTCTTGACTGATGACAATCCTGCTTCAAATTAACTTGAACTGTGTCAGCAACTAAGGGATTTTACTTATTTGGTTTTTCTAGGAACTATTATGTTTCTTTTAGGAAATGTTATATGAGTCTGAGGCACATGTGATGATTTGGATTTCTGACAATTTCAAGAACAAGAGGGAAGACAGGGCTTTAGAAAGCTCGCTGGGTATGGGAGAACAATACTATGAAGTGGGCTGACCACTGTTCATAGCAAGCAATGTTACTGCTGCCAGGTAGTAATAAAGCTGTGGAAGTTTATAATCTCATTTATCTTTTTGAAAGGTTTTCAGTTTATGATTTGGCAGCCACAATAGTTCTGTATCTTGTAAAAGAGGCATTTCAAAGAAAGATAGCACAAAGACTCTGGCTTTAAATGTTTCCCTAACTTTTAAGACCTATCTCCTATCTCAGTGGCACTGAGTAAGTGTAGGGTCACTTACAAGCACTCATGCAGTGTTTGAGTGGCTCAAAATACATGCCCTTTGCACTAGACAGCTACATCTCTGCGTGGTTCATACTGCCACCATATGAGATCAAATACTGCCTCTCCAAAGCCTTTCTGCACTTCACCAGTGTGACCCCTGCTGTGTGAGGAATGCTAAGTTTCCTCTTGCTTTAAAGGAAAAGAGGCCTTACCTAAGTTTGTCCATCCAAGTTTCCATGGTTTCTCACATAAGAAAAAGATCGTCGCTGGTGGGATGAAGTATAGCCAATCTGTAACAATCCACTTCATATTATCTGAAAAACTTCCTTCTGTATTCCTACCCAGTTTTTGTCTTGAGGTTTTTGTTTGGTTTTTGGTTTTTTTCACTTGAAGCTCCGTAAATTTTTATTTAATGTTTATGCCAGGTGCCTGCATAATTCACAGGACCACAGATGAAGTAAATATGGATGTGTAATAAATTTATTTTATCTACTGTACATGGATTGATCTATGTTCTGTATTTAGGATTGATTTTAATTTCTTCCTGTATAAAGCATATTTTATATTTCTACATGAAAAGATATTTGCCTTCTTTGTATTGCCAAATGTAGTGCACTCATTCTGTTTTTGTTTTATTTGTGTGACGTCTTTCCACAGTCATGGAATGTATTTCTGTTAAATAGTTTTGTTTATACTTCTCATGGCTCACATAAAAAAATTCATCCTTCCTACCCACTCTACTTCATTAAGTCTCTTCATTCCTGTATTCTCTATCTACAAAGTAGGAATAATTATTATGGAGTGTTTTTGACTGGTAAAATGCTTTAAAATTCTCAAGAAGAATGAAGTTTGAGAATCTAAGCACATTTTTATTCTTCCATAAATCAGCAACTGCCATTGAGCTGGGTTACTACATAAACGCTTTACAGGAATCCTTCCAGAATCCCTCCATTTCCCTCCTATTGTGTTTCAAGAAATGTGCAACTCATCTACATTAGGCCAGTGAGAAGCATCACTTTCAATAGACTGTTAACATTAATTCTGGGAAAAAAAAAAAAAAAAAAACTTGATGAGAACTTTTCTCTCTGAGGGAAATTACTGTGATGTTTCTACTGAAGTCTCTTTCTTTCAGATCACAAGTTGTGTGCTTATCTCTTTGCAACTAATTTTTGTTGGAATAACTAGTAGTTCCTAGTGTGTCCACAGTCTGTGGTAATTTTTAAGTCTTGTTCTTAACATGTCCTTGATTTTCTACTGTGGCTCTGATATCAATGGATCTTTCCAGAAGCCTTCTATGATTGGCTTGTTGAGTTAGTGACCAGTCTTATTTTGAGTACAAAACATCCAAAGCAAAATTCATCTTAATCATGATGTATCTTCCGCTGTGTGTGTTAAGATCATTGGATTTATTTGTGTTGTAGGAGCAGGATTGTTTTGGAAGGGGTTTTTAAATGCATATGTTTTGGGTTGTGTCCCTGTTATGCAACTTGGAAAAAATCTGAATTTTAAGACATTTCTTTTTCTGTGACTTACTTTCGTTTGCATAAAACAATAATTTGACATATAACAGTCTGGATTCTGATTTGGGGCTTTGCTTTATTCAGAGAAGCATTTTGGTGGCTGCATTTAGGTGAGAATTGAAAATTTCTAAACTAGGCAAGAATCTATGGAAGCTAAAAGTTAATGGTGGTGTTTGCATTAGACAAGACACAGTTCAGTGAGATAGAGTATGCACCTTCATTGTCTCAGTGTTAGCAAGCAAAATTTACACCATATGTGTCCAACTGTAATTGCTCCTTGAGGAGAAAAGAGAAACATGTCAGAACATTTGAGTAACACCTAATTCAGCCCATGGTTGTAAATAAAGCTGATGGTTTCTTAAAAACAAAAGTAAGAAAATATTATGATTATATTATTCCTCAGCAGCGCTTCCTACACAGGTGAACTTTATTACAGAGACAACACAAGTGAAAAGAAACATGTAACAACTTTTTAATGATATTTTTATGTTATTTTATTTTTTCGCAGTAAATAAAGTGGTTATGAGGCTCCAAGGAAAACGGCCCAGATGTTAGTGAGTTGTATGAAATTTAGTGGAAACAAGCTGTAAAAAACATAGTCATAAAACAGCCTGTCAATGCCACACATCTGGACAATGCAGCTGTATGTTCCCGCTGCTGTCATCATCCTAAGAAAACTCAACAGCCTTATTTCACCCCAATTAGGAAGCATACCAACAGAATCAGAATTACATAGGGAGGGGGTGTGTTTTTCACCAAGACTGACCCTCTCAAATTCCCAAGAAGTTTTCATGTTTTATTTAAGGCTAGTCCCTCAGACACTGGTCGCTTTGTAAACAGTATTGCAAGCTATTCCCCTTGATTTGCTATCTGTTTGATGCTTTTTAATTTATTACTTTATAATAGGTAGCTGCTTAATGTTGTTTCTTTGTTTAAAATCTAAAGAAAATTACATTTTCCTGTGAGAACTCTATGTCTGTTGACTTTCTCATAAATCATAGGTTTGTTCCATTCTAGTTTTATCTCATACTATAGCTGATATAACTTTATTTGAGGTCTTTAGAATCAAACAATTACAGTGTGTCTTACTGATTTGTTGTTTTTTTCTGGAAATGTGGCCATTTTGACCCACACATGGTACAATGTGAGATAGCACTTCCTCATTTCAGCATGCAAATAAATATGAGTCGAGTATAAATAATATATGAGTCAACCCAGTATTAAAACTATGCAAGTAGTAGTTTTGTTGTGGTTTTTTTTCCTTTGCAGGTGATGGAATTAGCCAAAGCCTTTCTGGACCAGGGTGAAGAAATTCCTGTAACACTAATTGGAAAGCTGTTGAAATTTCAATTGCTTTGTCTAAAACAGAAGGACCTTCAGAGAAGAGAAGAGGAAAAGAAGGTACTATAGTATGCCTTAGGAACATTACATATTTGAAGACACTTATATTCTGGTGTTGCTTCCAGAAATTCAGCTTTCTTCTCATGTTTGGCTTTCTAGAACTGTAATTAAAGAGAAATGTGATTAATCAACTTAGATTAGATTTTGTGGATGAAGTTCTCAATTACTCAAATGCCAGTGAGAACGTGGGGAAAAAAAAGAAAATAAAAATTCTATGGAAGAAGTCTTTGCTTGAGTGAGAGCTAATAACTGCTTAGCTGAGTCTTAGGGCCAATAGAAAACAGAGCTAGGAACAGGCTTCTGCTGAATGTATCCCTGAAGTAAAGGTAGGAGAGGTATCAAGGATAGACACAGAACAGACTGTGATGAAGTTCTTGCTATGAATCTCCTCTCTGGTGGGAATTTGGAGAAGTTTTCTCTTTCATCCTCCAGCACTAAGGCAGGATAATATTTATGTAAACTGTTCCTGGCAGATGTTTGTTAAACCTTTTATTAAAACTTTCCAGTTCTGTGTCTTTGCTTTTCCAATCAGTATTATTTCTCAACCATCTCTGCAACGCGCGCAATTGAAAGAAGATTCTGATCCTACCAACCCTACTCTCATTTAAACCTGTTTCAGTTCTCCCTATGTGTGAGGGCAACATTACACTCCATTCTATAGAAATCTATATTTAACTAAAAAAACCCAAATATGTGTCACGGTTGCTCATTTTTGATTAGGCATGTTCCTCTCCTCTGAGCTGTCTCAAAACAGTGTATATTTTGAAGTCCAGGTTCTCAGGACCAGGTACCATATTTTCCATTGCTCCCAAAATTTGCTTCCATTTGTTTCCAAGATCATCATTACTAGCTCCAAGATTGTCTCGGACAGATTGCTTATGTGTTCTGGGAGAAATTTCACCAAGCTTGCACAGAATCACAGATAAGACGTCTAATTTATTTCTAACATATATGGAGTTGTCATTTCTACAACTTACTGGACAGTTGTTTTTGCTATAGTCCTTTTCTAACAAACATTCATGAAACTGAAGAAAGTTGTTAATTATCAGAAAGTCATATAATTGCAGCAGTAAGTTTATCCTGTTAATTGATAAAAAACTATAATGTGGGGTGTGATGGCATGGAGACCTAAGCAGTCTGTGCATGTAAAAGATGTGAGCAGAAAATAGTTTAATGGATTTTGTGTAGGTGAAAAGTCTGTAACTTTCTTTATCAACAATTTTATTCATGGGAGTCGTTGGTGGATGAAGTATAGCACAGAATCACAAGAACAATAAATGCTAGGTGATTCCATTAAAATTGTGTCCTGTTCCCACAGAAGTCAATTTATTAGGAAATTATAATTTAGACCATAGAAATATATAAAGAATATGAGAAAAAAGTGTTTCTGAAAAGAAATCAAGAGGCTGAAACTATAGAATAGATTAGATAGCAGTCAATTCTTTTAGGTAAAATGTCAAACAAAAATTTAAGTTTAATGGCACTTAAATATTAAAATGGAGTCTTTAGAGCTTTGATTTAGCAGAATTAGTCTTGTAACTTTAATTTTATTTCCCTGATTAATTTGAGGATAGTCAATGTTGAAGAGTCTCTGGCACTTAGAGTTACTTTTCTGTTTTAGCCAAATTGTCTGCAAAAGTTGTCATCTCCTTTGAACTGTAGCTATATTAATGTGCGACAGGCAAACACAAAAAGGGTAGTTGAAGGACAGAGTCAAGAATAAGAAGGCTCTTGGATATGAGGATGCTCTGCAGTACAGAGTGGGCAGAAACTGACTTCTAATTTAGAGTTCTGTCTCTAAATTGGCTGCCATAAAATTTTTAATCCTTTTCAACTGGCTTGTACAATACAAGTTCTGTTGCCAACAATCTGGGTGTTGAAAACAGGATTTTACTCACAAATCAGTTCTCAGAAAGCAAACATAGCTGTCCTTGGGTTTTTAAATAGATACCAGTTAATAGAATGGATCAGCAGAATTAATACAACATGTAGATAACCATAAATAAGGCATTAGGAAATTTCTGTATTTCACTAGGAGCAGGAGCTTGTCATAAATTGACAGGTGTATGTATTTAAAATATTATGCAGACGAGGTGTCTCTGAATTAGAAAACTGTTTGAGGTAGTAAAATTTTGTAATGTAAAGCTTAAAATAGCAAATTTGCAGAAGTTAATGGATTGTTAGAAACTCTACAAAAAGCTGCACCTTGCAGGGAAGGAGAAATATGACATTGAAAGGAAAGGGAAAGAGTCCAAGAAAGGGAAGGAGTCCTTAAAGTATTAAGGTCAAGCAGTGTTCTTTTTTAGAATCTTGGCAAGTCCAGAAATGTTTCTGCTTATTTAAGGATTACTTAAAATGATGCAGATGCAATAGATGAAGTTGATTGTGAGCTTTTTGGCATGATGATTGTATCATCTGTTTGGTGTGTTCATCAGCTTAGAATTCAATGATGTACTATCAAAATTTCAAATTTGAAATGTCAGAGGTGGAACCAATTTGAAAGAAAATAATGAAAGTGTCCAAATTCTTCATTACACAGTGGAAATTGTTTCAAGAATCTGTCGAGGGCGTTTCTAAATTTTACAGAAAGAAAATTCAAGAAGGAAGGGAAAAGCAGCAAAAGATTTTCTGTTTTGATTTTGAATTTGTATTAAATACAATTTCCACAGCTGGAAAGTCTGCTTTTCAGCTGGATCTAGGGAAAGCAACTATGTAGAGTTACCTGCCCTCATTTTCATGAAGAACTTTGCTAATTGCTTTAATAGCCTCTAAAGTGACATCAACAGGATGTAACTGTAAGTTAAGTTAATATTTTATTTTATTTTGTTTAGCTTTATAATCCTGAAATGTAATTTTTACATAATTTGAATGTAGTATTTCTGCTGGGCAAAAATAAGGTGAAGACTTTCTTGCTCTGCAGAACCTACTTTACCTTAGTATTTTTTTGATTGTTTTAACTTTAGACCAACTCCTGATTTTTTGGATTTATAGTGTGAGGCTTTGGAACACTTACAAAATCTTTTTTTGTCCTGTACTCTTAAGTTACGAGGAAGAGCTTTATGTAGGTGTTTTTGTTTGAAGATAATGAGAATGGCTGAGTAATATCCTGTGGGAAATGAACACACAACTCTTGGTTCTAGTTTACATTAGACAGATACTTACATCAAAGAAAAATGGTGCTGGTACCATTTTACACCATAGTCAAGAGTGTTAACAGAGATGTTAAAGATACTAACAGATATTGAATTTTTGCCATATTTCCTCTCAGTCCAAAAAAGATTTCTGGCTGATGCAAGTGCTGTAGTGGAAGTTACTAAAGCACAGGGATTTTTTTTACTCATCTTTCTACCCATATGCATTTTGTTAGTTTGGTAGGCATAATGTCTAACTACTTCTTGCAGTTCCTTTTTAATGTGAAGTCTTAGCATTATGACTGAGTAAGAACTTATAAATAACTGAATGATGTGTTTGAGTAGGAAAACGCAGGGTGTTCAAGACAGCTCCACCACATGAATATAATAGCAGCTGAGAGGGAAAAGTGTGAAAATAAAAAAATTGAACACCTAAACTTTTACAGCAGTCTGACCTTTGTTCTGCACAAAGGCTTTAATGAGAACTTCATTTATTCATCTTGTCAGGCAGAACAGCAGCAAAAAGAAAAAGAAAAACCTCCTGAAAAGACATCTGGAAAAGATAGTAAAGGAAAAAAATCAGTGGCACTACCCCCTGTTAAAAAGGACACCAAATTGAAACAACGGGGAGAAGTGGAAGTGAAAGACAAGTACATTGGTATGTAAAATTTGATGATATATTCCTGATAATTTTTGGAGTACTTTGTTTTTTCCATGTTGAAAAGTCAGGATCTATTTAGCAATATCAAAGCTTTGCCACTTTGCATTTGAAGAGGACACTGTCTTCTGCTCAGTGTTAGGATGGATTGTGCAGTCCAAGAAGTAAAATACAGGTAAGTTATATGTGGCATGTCGATATCAAAATGTTTGGGCATATATAAGACTACAAGAAAGTAGTACAGAAAACTTATCCTAGAGAAACATTTCAGAATAACTAAATGTGTCAGTATCCAAAGGTGGCTTTTTCCTTATACTATAATTTAAAACAGAGCTGACTGAGTTGTCAACCCTGTCAGTGAAGAAATTTTTCCTAACATTCAATCTAAGCTTGCCCTCTTTATGTTTGTTTTAATACAGCTATATAAAGAAAGAAAGAAAAAAAATGCCTTAAATTCAGTCTATATCTGTTTCTGGTAGCTAGCAGTAATTTTATCATTCATCCCCAATACATTATCACCTTTCTGAAATTAAATATTTCTGCTTTTGAGTAATCTTGAGATTACTTTGATTGATGTCTTTCTTAATTAGAGCTGACATTGCTATGCACTTGTCATGATTATTAGCATAATCATAATTATAATTTTCAAATGGCAGGCAGTCCTCAGCACGTATGCATTGGAATTTGTGGATTTGTGTAAGTGATTATGCGACACCTGTCTTTTTTGTTAAAAATTTTTACTGTTCAGAAATTGTACGTGCTTATACTTTTTCTTCCTGCAGTAACTGAGACATAAAATTATGTACTTCAGCTTCAGTACTAAGAGTGAAATAATAAGCTAGTTTTCTTCTGGTTTTCATTTTTGCTTTATGCAATGCATGTGTTCGATTGTGGCTGCTGCTTTCTCAGTCAGGCTCTCTCTAAATTTCTGTGTTTCTATGTTTAGCTAATATTACAAGCAACAGAGAGTCTGCTGCTCTAGGTGGTAGCAGCATTTGCACAGCTCTGGCCATATATCTGAGCACAGGCAGATGTCAGTGCCAGGCTACCTTTTTTCCTTCCTTGGATAAATGAGTCCCATGAGCTGAGGAGTCAGCAAAGCACTTGGACATGTGATGTGTTATTAAGCATAAGAAAATATCTTAATGTTAAATAGTAAAAAGCTGTGATTTTCTTTTAGTGCAGGTTTGTCTGCACTAGCTCTATGTGTTTCAGCATTGATGGAGAGATACAGGACCTTCAGCAGGCATTTACAGTCAACTTAGGATAAATAACTGTACCAGATGAGTTAAATCACCTGATACCTGTCTTACTACCTCTATTTCTCCATAACGCATAAAAAGACACTAAACAACTCTAGAACTTCTAGAGAGTTAATTTCTACTTATATCATGCTTAACCTTTTGCTCTGGTACTGAAATGTTGGTATGCATATTTCTACATAACTGATAAGCCCAAATAGAACAAGCACTCAATTAGACTTCTCATCTGCACTTTAAAATTAATTTGGATATGCCTCTGCCAACTGAAAGGACTAGTGTGAGCTGGTGTTACCAGCTGATGAGGATTTTGCCAAGAAGTACATCTAGTGAACATGAACTGCTGAGTGGGGAGGAGTCAGCAGTGAGTCAGCAGTGCAGCCAATCCTTTGAAATTATTATGGCTTAGGTAATCTTTCATGTAAGATACAATAATTTACTCTGTGTATGTTCCATGTCCAGCTTTATGCAGGATGAAATAGGATAGTTTAAACTACCATTAAAGCATGTGGGTATGTCCTGACACTAGACTCCTTTGAGAGGAGCAATTACAGAAATGCTGCTACAACATTCTGATTATAGTCAGCTCCTGCAGTTTTTCTCCTGGTCCTTCTCCAAACAATTATTACTTCTGACTTTATTAAAAATTACTATTCTTCCTGCTGTGTTCTAGGTTCTAGGTTTGGTGCAGAAGACCCGAGTCTTAGGCACATAATTTTTGAATTTATATGTAATTTTTCCAATGAGATTATAAAAGAACTGTCTCTCTGACCTTCATTTGCATTACCCCATATAGTCAAGTAAAAATGTATTTTGTTTAGCTGATGAATGTTCTTACTCCAATCTGTTTTTGTTGTGTCTTGAACAGATGATGAACCAGATGATGGTGCTCATCATTACTTTATCATTCTGGGTTTCCCCAATCTTCAGTTGTTGCCTGTCTTGACTGACCTTGGGATTAACATTTCAAGTGTAATTCAAATTTCTTCTGAAAATTACAAGCCATTGCAGATATACTTAGAAGCAACTAAACGTAAAGGACAATCTTCAGTTTCACCTGAAGGTAATCTGGTCATTAAAAAAAAATGTGTGGAAAGGAGATAATTTTATATCCAGGGAATGACTGTTCTGGCTGTGGTGTTCTCCCTCTCCATGCCTTGTGTCTATACGGCATGCTACCTATGAGCAGCTGTGTTTGCCAGTGCCAAAGTAGTATTGCCATTGTTTGGCCACCAAACCAAATAGTTTGCCTGTGCAAAATCTGGACAGTAGGAAGAGGGACTGACTAAGCAGGCAGAGTTTGCAGCCACGGTAGCCACCAAAGAACAACATTTTATCAAATGCATACTTCTGTTAGCTAAGAAAATTTGGCTCATTTGGTAATTTCAAGGAGTGTGGACAGTTGGCTGCTTTGGGACTGTGGCCCCAGCCACAAGAGAGTATGCCACAGAATAATGCTCTGTAATTGTACTCAGCTGTCCCCAGGCTGTCCCCTTTCTTGAACTGGGATCCTGGTAAGCAGAAAGCTAAATATGTGTAATCAGTGATAGCTGGCTATCCTGAGCTGTAGTGACATAGCCAGCACATCAAGGGAGGTGGTTATTCACTGCTACTTGGCTGTTATGAGAATAGAATTATGGACTCTACAGTACAAGAAAGATACCAATAAACTCTATTCAATCCGGCAAACAGCCTTTCTATAAGGACTGGCTAAAGGACCTTGAAAGAAGAAAAAGTCATTGTGATCATGAATGACCTTTGGAATTTTCAGGCCCCAGAGACAGGATGAAAGTCTGGAGAAAGTTTCCTGGTGGAAGAGGATCAGGTTAGGGATTGCTTAAAAAAACTGGACACACATAAGTCTGTGGGACCTGATGGGACTCACTCAGACATACTGAGGGGGCTGGCTGTGATGTCCCTGCAAGGCCACCGTCAATTAATTTTGAAAAAACATGGCAATTGGAAAACGTGCCTAAAGACTGGAGGAAAGCATCACTCCTATCTTCAGAAATGGCAGGACTGACTCAGGAACCTAAAGGCCACTCTGACTTTTCTCAGTCTCTGGGAAGATGATAAACAGCTTATCCTGGAAACATTTCCAGGCACGTGACGGACAAGGCATTGATCATTTGGCATAGACTTGCCAACAGAAGTCATTCTTAACCAACCTAATAACTTTCTATGACAAAATGACTGTCTTGGTAGAGGAGGAGGGAGAAGTGAACATTGTCTGCCCTGACTCAGTAAGATCTTTGGCACTGTCTTCTCATAAAGAAGCTGGATTAGCAAACACTGAGTTGGATTGAAAAGTGGTTGAATGTCCTGGTCTGGAGGGTATCAGAGGGTATTGATGGTGTGAGTCCAGATGAACATCTTTATTAGTGGTCAGGATAGTTCCCTCAGCAAGTACTCTCATGATACACTGGGAGGAATGGCTGAAACACCACAGAATTGTGCTGTTTTTCAGAGAGACTTCAACAGAATGGAGAAATGATCTGGCACAGACCTCATAAAATTCAGCAAAGGCAAAGTCCTGCTGCAGTTCATGGTGGGGGCTGACTGACTGGAAAGCAGCTCTGCACAGAAGGACTTAGGGGTGGTGGCACTAAGCTGAACTTGAGCCAGCACTGTGCCTTTGTAACAAATAAGGCTAATGGTATCCAAGGCTGCATCAGGTCGAGGGATTTGAACTTTCTTTTGTACTCAGCACTGGTGAGGCCACACATGGAGTTCTGTGTCCAGTTTTGGACTCCTCAGTGCAGGAGAGATACGGAGCTACCAGGAGAGTCCATCAAATAACCACAAGTATGTTCATATGAGGAGAGGCTGAAAGAGCTGGGAATGCTTACCCTGGAGAAGAAAGATCTTGGAGGGAACTCATCAATGTGTATAAATGCCTGAAAGGAATGTGCAAAGAAAAGGAAGCCAGGCTCTTTTCAGTGGTGTTCAGTGACAGGACAAGAGGCAATGGCAAAACTGAAACATAGGGTATTATCTGAAGGCAAAGAAACACTTGTTTACTGTGGGGGTGACTGAACGCTGTCACAGATTGCCCGGAGAGGTCACGGAGTCTTCATTCTAGGAGGTACTCAAAAGCTGTCTGGTCATGATCCTGGGCAGTTTGCTCTTGGTGACTCTGCTTGAGCAGAGGAGTTTTACCAGATGACCCCCACAGGTCCCTTTCAGGATTAGTGACTGTACTTGAAGATTAGAGAGATGATCATAATAGATGATCAAAGTAGAAAATGATGGCAAGATATAAGTGAGGGTATTTTTTAATCCCAAAGTTGAGTGTCAGCTATTTCCTGAGACTCTGAGGATGGAAATATTATAACAATACTTAGATAAGACTGATACATGAGTTTTGCTTGATGTTAAAGGGATACATTGTACCATGATTTGTCAAATATTTATATATTTCAGATATAGAAGCAGAGAAAAGAAAGGAAGATGAAGCTAAAAAAGACCTGGAAACATTTTGGAAATTCCTGGAGCCCGTTCTGAACAGTGGAAAGCATGGATCCAGTCTCTTTGATGTTGCCAGGCTTCATTACCAAGTTAAGGAAAGTGACTTTCCCTCTGATTGGTCAGACAGTGAAATGCTGGTCAGTGCATTCTGTTTTTACAGTGCATGGCAGCTTTAGAGTTTGTAACTTTTAAGAACACATTAGGAATTTAATCTCAAGTCTTCTCTGAAACAGAACCACAGTAGTTTTTGTAATCTTAAACAAAAATATTTCCTATGTATCCAACAACTTTATTCAGCATTTGTTTACAAGGAGTCCTTTGAATAAAAATGCCTGATTTGGAGTTTCTTAGTATTGTAGGCCAAAGCAGAAGAGTTGTAAAATAGTTTGGGGTTTTAAATTTATTCAGCATCTTTATAGACCCAGTTTGCATCTTGTTCAAGAGTCATATGTGTGTATAACAAAGAAGTTATGTTTTTGTCCTCCTAACATCAGGCCTACTTACTGCACCTCAGAATAGTCACATGAGAAAAAGTTACTTGAATACAAGAATACTTTTTGATATATGATGTTGCTTTATTATACTTAGTACTGTTTCTTTTTGTCCAAAATATGGCTCTAACTTAGAATAAGTGAGTAATAGGCCTTCTGAGTCAGGACTATTACCAGGCACTGAAGGAGAAAGTGAATCATCAGAATTTTTTTTCCATCCTACGTTCTGGATACGTGTATAGTGAGGTAAAAGAATCCAGTATTTTTCAATATACACTGTCAGCAGTAAAAAATAAAAACTGCTAAAGCAAAATAAGGCAATATGCCTTATTTAACCTACTGTATTTGTAGTCTGCATTACTAGGATTAAAGGACATTATAGGGTTAAACTACATTCTTCTAACCCTTATTTATAGTACAGTAGATTCTATATACAAACAATTCACAGTAGTTTCCAAAGCATTCACTGAAAATTCCTTAATTGTGGAATCATGTAGGCTTGCTACTTATAATATTATTTATCATTATACTCATTATATAATCTTACAGTGCCAAGCCTCTTTTGGGAAAGCATTTTTTATCTTACCTATAATCACATCTTACAGGAGACTGTTTCTGGTTTTGAATATGCTGCAAGCACCTATATTATAGCTGAAATGATGGGAAAACCATCTGTCACTGAAACAGATTTCAAGAGATTGGAGTTATAATTTAATGAGTCCTACAGAAGCAAGAAAGTTTGTAATTTTTTTAAGAAACAGGTGGGGAGCATATGAGTTCTGAAATCATAGGTGGATAGAGTAAGTCTGTTCTTGTGGACTTGCTGGAGAATCTTTTGAGTCTAAGTTTGCTGCATCTCCAAAGTGTAAGATACACAGGAAGAAAATTCTTGGGACAAAATGTTAGACATTAATATAAAAATGACAGAGCATTACATACTGCAAGTAGTCTCTGCTCTCAGATTTGAGATCTTTAGAAAAGAAAATACTTTCAAAAATATTTTCTTTGTTGAAGAGTCACTAATGGTTAGACGTGAAAAACTATTGATGAGCATCTATGTCCTGAGGAGAGACCAGGCAAATTGAATTACAAAATTGTAATTATACTAAACTTTGCATGGATCCCATTGAGTAGTATGGGTTTTGTTTCTTATGACTTTATAAAATATTTTGTTTTGTTTAAAAGACTGTGCATTGAAAACACTCCAATATTTTATATAAAACTTTTGTGGACTCTAGTGATACTTTAAGAAGGTATGGATGTAAAGGTGTTATACTAACCCATTCTTCAGAAAAATATTGAATTGGGAAAACAAAGGTGCAAGAATATTAATGAACATTCTGTTTTCGCAAATAGAATTTCTTTCCCAAGGGGCTTTTCTAGTCTTTAAATGTTATGAAAATGGAGACAAGTGTTTCATAACTTATCAGTGATTTGGGATTGCCTGTTTCCCAGTGTCATAAAGAGGCCCTGAGTTGAGGAAAGCAGATGCTTAATACTTCTTAAGGGGTTGGTATTTTACTTAGTGCCTAATGTCAGTTGTACTTCTTCGCTGTGCTTTATTTTAGGAAACTTTAAATTGAGACATTCAATGTCGTTAGCCGCCTCTTAGAGGCAAACTTATTAGTATAAGAGACCTGCCCTACTTTCACAAAAGTGAAAAAAATTACTCAGAAAAGGGCTTTCTACAGAAATTGTCTAAAAGTTATAATAATTCCATCCTTTCCACAAATTCCAAGATGTACAGGGGAAGAGTACATCCATTAAAGCTGCTGAAACTTGAATGTTTCATGTGGTCTCCAACAGGGTTTTGGTATTCATACAAAATATTTAATATATAAAATAGCAGTTGCTATTATTCTTTTTATTCCTCCCAAGCTTTGGTGAAAACCACAGTACATGACCTCAAGAACCATGACTCTTTCCTTGTCAGATTTTTCCAGATGCAGCGTTCTCCCTTTGGATATTGGGCAGTATGCTGACATTCCTTCACTCACAACTGTAGATTTCAGAATGTTATTCTTGAGGCTTTCTTTGTTTTCAAAGGGCAACAAAAAGAAAGAAAATAATATGAGATGATATTGATTACCTTGGTGAGGTTTTATTTTTTATCCTTCTAGAGCTGGGAAATGATTGACCTTGCAAATATGCTGCAGGTTGATCACTAGTAAAAACGTACACCCATTACAAAATACATTAATTTTCCTCTCCCATTCCTTCTCATCCAGAAAAAAAAAACATAAATTCAATCTGCAAGACAGCAGACCTTGAACAGTTATTGTTAAGACAAGTTAGACTTTATGACAACTAAAGCACTTAGGCAATATACAGTCCATACTGTGCTGTGGCAATGTTAAGGCAAATAAAATGAAGGAGGTTTTAGAATAACTCTGTAAAACATATTGAATTGGTGAAGGAAACAGTCGCTTGGAAAATTTATAAACAGATGTAGATCTGCTGGTTAAAGAGCTAATGACTCCTGTCACTAAGTTACATGATACTTTTATAAACACACTTCATCCTTTTTATCTGATTTTCTGTCATAGCTTGCATTTGGTACTGTGCTGTTTGAACATATTGCTTGTTTGATGTATGACTGCCTGGACTGGAGAAGACAGCATTGCAACTACTTGGAAAACACCAAGTTTATTAATGTGCCTTCGTTACCAGAGAGCAAATCAACACAATCTTCTGCAGCTGAGGCAAGGACCCTTCTCTTCTTCTTGAGAATAACTTATTTTAGGCTAGAATTCCCTGTCTTTAATTGTGACTCAAAAATTCGTCTTGGACCATCACTCTGTGAATAATTTTCAGTGAATGAGATTTGTATTTTTGTCTTTAGTATTTAAAACCCAAAAAAAGGAAAAAAATAGCTGAGCATTGGGGAAACAGAAAAAGGAAATTGGAAGGATCCTACAGGCGTGAAGTATCACCGATGTAGAAATTTCTTAAATAGTGTCTGACGATACATTCTTGTGTCTGAAAAAATCAATATGCGTTCACAGAGCTACTATACATTGTTGCAGATCTGTGAACTGGCAAAAAAAAGTTATGAGTTCTATGCAAGATCTATTACCTTATTTTTTTCATAGTAGGCAAAAGCTTAAGTGGGCAGAAGAAAGTAGCTTATTAGAATATGCACTGCATTCTTACTATCTTGTTCCATTTAAAAGTTTAGCATGTAGTCTAGGGTGAGTAACCAAAGCTAAATGAAATTAAGTTCTCCCACCTATCTGTGCAATACTCATTTGTTTTATGGTTTCTGATTTTTTATGTTAACTTTTGTTCACTTAGGAACGTCCAGCACCAGCATCACAGATAACACCTACAAAGAAAAAAGGGAAACCAGAAGAAATTCTGCCAACAGTAGATTTGTCAGAGGGTATGTTTAAAGGATTAAAGCATCCATCTGTAGTTGTTCACTCTGTCAAACTATCCATTCATCTGACAGCACAAATCCTCAAAATTATTTGTGCAGTTATATGAAGCTGTGTGTCCTGGTGAACACATTGTGGAAGTGTCTAGTAGTAATAACGAACTTCTTTAGAAAATCATGTTTTCTGTCTGTTTCTAGTCACAGATTTAAAAGATCTCAGTAATTTTGTTTGATCTCTAACTTTGTTAGACTCTTTTTAATAAATATTATCTGAAGGTTCACAGAATCACAGAATATTCTGAGTTGGAAGGGACCCACAAGGATCACTGAGTCCAACTTAGCTCTACACAGGACATCACATCATGTGCCTGAAACGGTTTTCCAAATGCTTCTTGAACTGCCAGTCTTGGTGCTGTAACCACTTTCCTGGGGAGCCTGTTCCAGTGCTGAAACACCTTCTGGGTGAAAATTTCTCTAATACCTAACCTAAACCTCCCCTGACTCGAGGTGAGGCTGCCCCAGTGCAGAGCAGCACGGGACAATCCCCTCCCTTGCCCTGCTGGTGATGCTGCACCTGATGCCCCCCGGGGCACAGTTGGCCCTCCTGGCTGCCAGGGCATTGATGACTCAGATTCAATTTTCCATCAAACAGGACCCCTGGGTCCCTTTCTGTGGTGCTGCTCTCCAGCATCTTATTCCCCAGTCTGACTGTATATCCAGGGTTGGCTCATCCCAGGCACAGAATCCACCACTTCTGCTTTTTTAGCTTTATGAGGTTGATAATTGCCCAGCTCTCTAATCAGTCAAGGTCTCTGCAGAGCCTGTCTGCTTTTGGGAGAGTCAACAGCTCCTCCCAGTTTTGTATTATCTGCAAACTTGCAGAACTGACTTGAAATATAAATTGACATTTCTGAACAAACATATCTTAATGTTTTATCTCTTCATATAGCATCCGAAGAAACTTATATTCTCTTTCCTTCTGTGGACATGAGGTATTATAATAACTTGATGAGTCAAATTCCTGAGGAGTTCTTTTCTGTATCCTTAATGCTGAGCTGCATGTTGGAACAGGTGGGAATGTTCTCTTTTCAATTTTGGCCTAGACCTAATATAATGAATTGTCAAAGATTAATAAATCCATCTGTTTAACCTAAAATATGAGACTGCATTGAGGCACCGAGCAAGGAAGTTCAATAGGAGTCAAAATTCCAAACTTTGATTTTCTTTCATATTGTACACTTACCCTGTATGTATGTATGTATGTGTATATATATGTAGTGTTATTCCATAATTAATTATTGAAGACTGCAAATATAATCAAATTAGGAGAAAGGTGCAATTTCTTATCTAAGTCAATAACATGTTTTCATGTCCTACAGCAATATTATTGATACAGAACTTTTGCTGATTTACTCAGTTCAAAGATCTTAGGTGAAGCCTAGCCTAAGAACATCAATGCTAGTGCTAGACTAAATCTGACTTCTGTTGAGTTCAGGCGCAATCTATGATTTAGAAGAGACATACAATATAATTTGGAAATTCTCCTTCTTTTAGGAGTAAAATTTCAACATAATTTTGGAGTTTTTACTTTTTGTAACTTAGTCTGAAAATAGACTTTGGTAAGAATACTTAAAGTCCAACACTTAATAGACAATCAGTTTTTAATTACCTGTGTTCCTTAACAATTCTTAACATTTCAAGTTAGGAATATTTTTCTTCTCGGCCTTTCAAAGGCAACTGTTGGAAAGAGCATTTAATTGTTTTCCATAATCTTTGTTTTGTGCAGAAACTAATTTGGAAAATTGTATTTTTGCTACTCGTAGAAAATATTAGGCTTTTCTTCCCTGACAGAATTTATGGGTGTATGCTTAGCTTATAGCAGGATTTGTTTGGTATTTGTGGTAAAATTGAGCAGCAGTCATAATGTGATGGAAGCTAACATATAGTGTATTTTCCAGGTTATTGCAAGTGAAGAATACCTTACACCACCGAGTCTGGTAGCACCAGAGACTCAGGCAGATGGGCTGCATCAGGCCATTGCAGATCATATAATCTCTGTCCTTCCTTCTCTTTCTCTTCCTATGAGTGAAAAAAAGGTTTGTGTTGTCTTTTGTTCATTTCCTCAAATGGCAAATCTCATTATTGGGGTTTAATACGTCTTCCTTTTCTTTTTAAACAGAATCTGTATGACTACTTTTCTCCTAAATACAGTGAACAAGAAACTGTTACACCCCAGTACCCTCTCTTATTTAACTACCATGATGCCCTGGCTCAGCGGTTGCACCTACTGAAGGTACAACCTATTTATATATAAATATTTCCAAAGTTCACAGGCAATGAATGCTCAATGCACTAGAAAGGGAGGAGTGGTGTTTTTACAAAACAGGACAGCATGTACTAGATCTTTTTTCTACTTAGGTGGATACACCAACACATGTTTAGTTTGCTTAAGAAGTTGTGAGTTACTTATGGAGGACACCTCACAAACATGGAGCACAAACATACTGGTTTCAGTGAACTATTTGCATTATTAATTAAAATGTTTAGCCTTTGGCATAGATGAGAGATATTACAGAACTGTTGATTTGCTGTTAAACACTGATGATACTGTGGAAAATTACTTGCTAGCTTGTTTACTGTGATTTAGCATGAAGACTAGACTGAATACTAAAATGTTGAGAAATAGAAGAAAATGCATAGCAGTTATTAACGAATACAAGAAATGTATTCAAGCTGGCTAAATAGTTGGAGCATAGTGTGTAACCAAGATACTGCTGAATTCTAACAAAGGCAGAAAGGTTCAGAGACTGCATAGTTTAGGATTATTGCAAAGTAACAGTTCCCAGACTTTCTGAATCAAAAAACCACTGTGAATGTCTTGAATTTTTCCAAAGACAAGGTGTAGTTTTACCATTAAACTTTAAAAATTCACAGAGAATAATACGAGTGATAACGCAGTTGTAGATTTCACAGCTAAGGGGTGTCTGCCTGGCTTCATGGATTACAAATTATCCGGGGAATACTTTGGCAACCATTGGTTAAAACTATTCAGAAACAACTCAAGTTTGACACGTTGGATGTATTCAAGCAGAAGGAAGGACTGAGTAATCAATGTAAGAGATGGTCTTAGCTGACATATGTTTGATGTATTTTATATACTTGCTGAAGACTAAATTTAGGATATAGCACAATGTTTGAGGAAAGAGTAGAGGACAAACATTGGGAATATGCAGTTGAAGAAAAAGGTACTGTAAGTGTGTAATACTAAAAAGAGTGAAACTGAAAGATACCACTACGTCTGAAAAAATAAATCCTTGGATATAGTCAGTCATCGCAGACTGATCAATAAATTTATGGATTTCATTACTATGAAAAGTAGCACAGACCAGCTGAAAGATACATGGAAAGTACCTGCTGCCAGTCTGAATAGATCTGTGCATATTTCTGTATTTTTAAGTCTAGCTAGCACAGACAACTCCTAACAAATGTCTGTTATTATACTGTCAGTCATTCTCTTATGTGTCTAATATTTTTCTGCCTACAGTATCTGACAGTGTGATTCAAAACCACACTGTGGGCACATGTTCAAATTTAATTTTATGTCCAACTGACTTAAGCACATGCTTATGTCCTCTGCTGTAGCTTTATTCAAACATAGTTTTTGGAAAGTCAATAGTGTTAAAGTTTACTTTAACTCTGGTACTTTGATTTCTGTTCCAGGTCCAGGAGAACTTCAATCCAGAAAAGATTGAGCGTGAAATGATGGATAAACTACCTCTTACAAAACTTGTCCGTTTCACCCCTCCTTCAACTGAAAGCAATACTAAACGCTTGGCCAGAGCTCATGAGCTCATGCATTATTGTACTACTGGTAAAATTATATTCATTGATATATTTTATTTAGGGTTGATGATCCTCTTAAATAGCAGGAATTTTTGGATAAGATTTTTAAGCTGCCAAAAAAACCTTTGCAGAATTTCCCATTTTCACATTCTTGCTCATATGTAATTATAGCCTACTATACAAGTTAACCCAGACCTCAGTTTCATGATTAATGGGAGCGACTGTATGAGTGTTAAATATTGCATAACTGAGAGCTGGAAGTATCTTGGAAGTACTTTGCTTATGTTTGCAAACATACAAACACTTATTAATTCTGAGGAAAAAAAACAGCTGTAACAATTTCGATTTTGGTCTTAGAATGTAGAATGCATTTTGAGAGACAATGATGTAAACTGTGTTTATCAACTTTTGGAGTTAAAGCACACGTATATTACAATTTTTATGGAACAATACACAGCTTTCAGAATGAATTCTGTGTAAGCTCTTGGTGTTAATAATGAAACTACTTTATAACAGTCCCTTTATCAAACCAAGAATACATTCACTTCTCCAACCATAATTATTTCTACAGTTACCTTTTCTTGGAGTGTGCTTGCAATCATGACATACACTGGGAAACAATCCCAAAGACTGCGTAAATACCCTTAGGCAGTATCAAAAATCTGCTCTAGGTTATTAAGAAATACAAACATCCAAATCCCTTTGGTTATATTCATGTCATCATATAAGGCACAGCATTTGAAAGTACTTTCCCAGCTCTTTCATCCTGAATTCCCTATGTTGGATTCATTTACACTTTGATGTGTTGTTTCTAGTTGTTGGTATGTTAATTTTGGACAGTAAGCTATTAAAGTATTCACTATTGCTATAGTGTTCCAGCTGATGAGTGTTGAATTTGATGATCCTCACTGGGCCATACTGTGCTGCCAAACTCTCCTAACTGGTAACTTAGCTAGCAAAGCCTTTGCTTTTATCAAAGGCGATGGTTAATTTGAACAGAAGATGAGAAATCCAACATTATCAAGATATATGACGTGCTTAGGAACTTAACCACCCTAAACAGAAAACACTTCAAACTGAAGATATTCTTTATGTGATTTGGGCATTGTACTACCTGTCCTAAATTTAGTCCTTTGCATGATTATCATTGTTATAGGAACATGGATACATACAATCATAAATAGGATTTATTATTGCCTTTGCACCTTGCATACTTCTGTTTAAATTATGTGTACAATTCTGTCTGAAGAGGGAAAAAATTGATACTTTTTTGAGAAGTTACAGATAATGAAAACATTTCATGAACTGAAAATAACTAGTTGCTAATTGGCCTTATAAAGTCTACTCCGTATTTTAACATAATTTCTATGAAGTTAATGAGCCAGAAGGTATTCAAATGTAGGAACCACTTCGTTTAAGATGGATTAATACTTAGGCATATCATTTTGCAATTTGGAAGCATTCAACTTTGAATGCAGTGTACAATGTAGCCCAAGTTGATCCAGTACCATTAAGGAAATTGCTGTTGGCTTTTTCAGACTTGCCAAGAACAATACGCTTAAATAGTTTTGTATTTATTTTCTGCTGACCTGTAAGGACATTTTCAGTTAATGATTGTAATTCTTTTTTAGAACTTCTGAGTTGGGCTGAAGTAGAAAGAGCCTTCAGAGTGTTTACTTTTGAAAGCCTGAAGCTGACGGGGCTGAGTGACTCTGGTTTCCTGGAGAGCTCTGGATCTAGGGTTGGAGGTGATTCTGAAGTGTCTTATATCCCTTGGGATAATCCAGACTTGTTTGCAAGACAGCTGAGACAACTCTTCCTTGTGGAAAAGAAGCTTAATGGGAAATCTCCAAGAGGCTCTGGTAAAAAGCTTTCTGTTTACATTACTACTGAAGAATTTTAATCCACTATTTTTCTTACCATATAGTTTGCTATTGCAGGGATGTGATTTTTCTTCCTTGTACAAGTCAACAAATTTTCAAGTATTATGTGGCCTGTACATTGAGTAACTCTGTAAGAATATTAGAATAAAGACAAAAGCTATTTTGTACTGCAGCATTAACAATTGTAGGTGATGCAGAAATAATCTTCTGGAGTTCTACATTTTCTCCTGCAGAATCTAACATAATGAAAAGTTGTTGTCCTTGTTAAAGGAGATGTGTTGGCCAAAAAGCAACATTAAAAACAAGTGATTATTTTTTCAGGATGCAACAAAAGTAGAAATTAGGTCGGTTTAAGCAATTATATCTTAAGGTTCATGATCATAGAATCATTGTTTAGGCTGGCAGGGACCTCTAAAGGTCATCTGTTCTGACATCCCCGCAATAAGCAGAGACATTTTCAACTAGATCAAGTTTCTCAATCTGACCTCCTGTGCTTTCAGGGATAGAGTGTCCACCATCCCTCTGGGAAATATGTTGCAGTGTTTCACCACCCTTATGATAAAAATTTCTTCCTTATACCTAATCTGAATCTGTTCTCCTTTCCTTTAAAACCATTATTCCTTATCCTATGACTACAGGCTGAACTCAGACTCTGACTACTCAGAGCCTTCTCCAGGCTGAACTCTCTGAGCCTGTCTTCACAGGAGAGGTTCCCTGTAGTCACCTTTACTTGCTGTATTCTGGACCCACTTCAGGAGATCCATGTGTTCCCTTTGGACCCCAGAGCTGGATGCAGTACTTTGTGATGTTGTCCATGCTTTCCTAATAGAGATGTCTAAGCAAGCAGCTTAGATGGAATCCTTTCCTTGGAAGTCTAGAGCAGACAAAAATGAGTCCTGCTTACCTGCTTTTCTTCTGAATCTTGGGAATATTTTGGGGTGTTAGTTTATTTTGCTTTTGTACTATGTCATGACATTAAATTTTGCAGTTACAAGCATAACAACATTTCAGCACTTCTGCAGCACAAAAGTAAATACCAGGAAGATAAACCATGTGTTTTCAGGTTTCTTCAATCTTCTAAAGGCAGTCAGTAAACAGAGTAAGTTCCAAGAGAAGCAGAGCTTAAAGATGTATGTCTGGAAGCTGAGTTGGTTATAAGACACTTAAAAACAAATACTTTGTGGTATATTTTCCACCAGAAAGAGTTATTTTCCTGTACATGTGAATTTTGGTCAAATATTAATGACCGCTGCCCTATCTTAGGGAATAAAGAATTCTGTTAAAGGCAATTTTTATATTTTAATTAAGAGAATGTAGAAGTTAAAGTCCTTATGTGATGCTGTTCATATCAGGTGCTCATTGCAACAATGGAATGACTGGTCAGATCCTCAGGAGAAGTAATATTCTGTCAGTAGCTTATGGATCTGTATAAACCTAATAAATTTAAACTTTAAAATTTGCATTTGTCAAAAATGTGTGAAAATACAGTTGGTCTTGCCTTTTATTTTAATGTCATCTGTGCAAAGGACTGCTTTTTAAAATATGAAGAAAAATGGTTCTTTGTTTATGAATCTGGAGAATACTTCTGAGAGTATTTAGTGGGCCAGCATGGGTCAGATAGAAAGGATGATTTAGGTGAGTTTTTTTAAGTCTTTTTTTTTTTTTTCTTTTTCTTTTAATTTTGTTTAATTATCTGGCACTTGTTGTCACAGGATGTTAAAATGCTCTCTTAGTAAAGAAGCATAGCAGAGCTGATCGTGTATTTATAGGACAAGTTTGGAAAAAGGAAGCTTCAACTTGATGTCAGTCTCATCAGGGAGACTAAGGAAATTGCATTACTCCAACCTTAGTTGGGCTGAAATTTCTGGAACAATTCTTTAAATTCTGCTTTAAATTTCCAGGACATACAGAAACAAGTAACGAAGATGAAGGAGATGATGTGCTTGGTCCTCTTTTGAACGTAGAATTGGATCCTCTTTATTCTGAAATGGCAAGTGTGAGAAATTGAGTCAACAAGGCTTTACATGAGGCAGCAGAAGATACTGCTCAATGCCAGGCTGTGTAACTGGGGATTCCTTTGCAATGCTGCATGCAAATGTTTATTTTGTGATGTTTGGCAAATACTAACATAACTTTTAAGCACTGTGAAATCACTTTCTTTTAATTCCAAGGTGATGAGTTTCAATGAAGCTGTTAATAATAATTCTGTGCTGGTTTTGCTGAGTATCAGGGATCAAATACAAACGTGAAAGTTTAAAAGAAATTGTCAAACTGTGTCACACTAGTATACTGTGTAGTTTGGCATCTTCAGAATCACCTTTCTGCCATATATCTCATAATAAACATAGTAATTTTAAAATAACCTCATAGGACATGTTTGAATACTCATAATTGCTTACAGAACTCAAACACGTACAAGCTAATAACAGAAGTATTTAGATTATATTGTCGTTAAAAGTTCAAAACCAAACCTGCTTGGAAGTAATTGTATTTTTTATGAAACAGTGCCATATGGGTCTGCACATATGCATCATTATGCTATTAACTGTGATGCAACATGGGGTGCTGTCTATTAATCCAACAAGATTACAGTCAATTTAATACTGACACTGAAATGTTGATATTCATTATTTTGGTATGTTGTATTTTGAGGTGAGTCTGGAAAATTATGGCTTAGGACCAAGTTTGGAAGAAATAAAAAAGACACAGAGGCGTTGCTTGACAGACTGGAGTTTGGAAGAGCATTTTCAACCACATGTTCTTTGTCAGGTATCTGTGAACTGACAATCTCATATATACAGTCCTCCCTCAGAACGCTATATAAAGTAGTTCAGGGTATTTTTCTGCTCGATAATTGATTCAGTTTCATCTTTCATTTTTACCAAAACTCATTGTGCTTTAGCTACTTTTCAGTTCACCATGTGAAATTTAGCTTGTAATGGGTTTTTATTTCCTGGTTTGGCCAAACTGGCGTTATCCTATTTGGCACCAAGTCTCTTAGCTGAAAGTGTGGTGGACATAAAACACCTTGCCCTTAGGGGTGATCCTCTGTGGCAGTTTTGTGGCTCAGTGAACTGGATGTGAAAACATACTTTGCAAATGCCTATGTAGTGCATGTTTTATGGGCAAATAGAAAATTTGGTTGTTACAGTACTTCACCCTCTAAGGGCTAAAAGCTTCATTTATAGAAGTCTTGCAAGATGAACACTAAAACTTATCTTGCAGAAAGACAGAATAACAAATGTGAAAGATATGTTCAAATGTACTTGGCTTGGATTGAGAGGCATCCTCTTGAGAGGAGTGGATTTTTAGTTCCTGTGCTGCCTTGAGCTTCCTAGGCTGTAATTCTTATTTGAGCCTGACACACGCTGTACTTAGGCAAAAGAAGTGCAGCCTGGACTTTTGCAGCACCACTTTAATGTGACAATTTTAAAGTCTGGTCATGCATTTCAATGCATGGGGAATCCCTTCATATGCAACATAAATAGCTAATACTACTTCAACTATCAATAATTAGTGAGTCTAGTAAAAAGATACTGATGGAAAATAAAAATAATAAAAAATAGTGTTTTATTGCAGCCAAAAATAACATTTTGAAAGAAAAGTCATAACAATCAGGTGAAGTCCCAGATGACTGGTTAAAGAGAAACATTTTGCACATGTTTAAAAAGGGTAGAAAGGAGGACCCTGAGACCTACCAACTTTATCAGTCTCACCTCTGTTCCTGGGAAGATCATAGAACAGATCCTTCTAGAACCTTCAGTTGCATAGTTCTGAAAAATAATAGTTTAAAAGAAGGCTTTCTTCTCCCTATGACTATAAAATAAGTTTCAGCCTGCAGGCAATATAAATATTGAAAATGATGGGGCAGTACAGAGCAGAGTGGAATAATGTAGATGACAGCAAATCTCAGAGATGTGCAGGTCATGGTATAGCAAATTGAATACCAAGTAAGCTCAACTGAGATTAAAAAAAAAATTAGTTTTCTTTTTATCTGGTATATGATAATTCTAATTTTATTTACTATTTAAGTATTTTATTATTTGAACTCGTTTAAGTATTTGTAAAATATTTTCATTTATTTGGGTTTTATGTAGCTGAAGTTTTTCATTGATGTTCAGTCAGAAGGTGGAGCACAGTTGGTGTTTCTTCTCCATATGAATAGCAATGCAGTTTCAATTTTCACCTACCTGAACAATTTGCTGGAATCCAAATGCTTTGAGTACATCTTGTAGGAGAGTATTCAGGAGCACCTGTTGCTCAAAGCTGTGCTGTGTAGCCTCTGCACATGTGCTATCATCTGCAGGGAGGATGTACCTTTATTTATTTCCTTTTCAGGTTCTTCATACAGCATCCCAAGAATATAGATGTATTGATTCATTTTATCATACCCAAGATAACTCTTTACTAATGGTTTTTCACAATCCTATGGATCAACATCGTATGTGCCAAGAGACTTGGAATATTGCTCTGCACTCTAATGTTGGATTCAGGTAATGGATTTTATCTTCCCTTTCTCATTCACAGTCATTTTCAATTAAAGCCTCCATGGGTGTGCTTAGGGCAAAGCTCTGAAATTAAGATATGGCTATGTGACACATTTATGAGAAAAAAAGTAATGCAGGTCAAAAGCAGTACTGTATCAAAAACATTCCGTTGAACTTTTCTGAGTGAGAACAATGCAGACTTGTAGCTCCTTATCACCAAATATAAAAATGTAAATATTGTACACATCCATACAAAATCATATTAGGAGTGCCACATCAAGAAAATTGCACTGGGACATTTCAGGTGAAGAATGTTTAAAGAATAATTCTGTCTAAATATATACTTACCAGGTTTTTCAACAGTATGTACATAAATTGAGTGATTTAGTGGGAGATTTTTTTTTGAGAGAAGTTCAAATCCCTTTGTTAATATTAGATTTTTTTTCACAGAATAACACATTCTTCTTAATTACTTACTGATATCTGTTCACCAGTTAGAGGTGTGCAATTGATTGATATGTCCACTATTAGCTCTTTTGTTAGTGAACCTATTTATTTTGGAACACATTTTTGCACTGAAGCAGTGATATAAATGATGATGTAGATGCAATTACTATTCCAAATAATTGACTGAAAATAGAATAACTGTCCATGTACTAATATGTAAAAATGTTAAAATTCCATAGAGAGACAGCTGAGGTATCTTTTACTATGTCACTCTGGTGCTCTGTGGATTAATAAGATTTATCAAATAAAATTTCAAACAAATTATCCAGTATGAACATACCTCCCCCACATTTGTCTGCAGGTATCCTTTTCTAAGTGTAATGTCTCATTTATCAGATTATGGGAATTTTTATAGTAAACTTTTGTTGACACCTATATATATTTGAACAGATTTCAGTACTAAACGGGGGAAATGTGCCTTCCTGAAGCTGTATTTTGTATTGTATTTTGTATCTGTTCTCTCAGTCAAGGAACGCTGTATAGGTCCATCTCCGCTTTCCAGGCATTTGGACTTAAATTATTTGCCATGAAAACAGGCTATTGTGATTAGCAGTGACTAGGACCAGAGCCAGAAGATACTTGCCAGCAGAAATTCAAAGTTCCTTGGAGAAAATGCTGTCTGTTTTGTGTTTTGTGTTTTGGGCAGATCCACTAAATGTGTGGTCAGTGGTTTTGTATTTATATAGCAACTAAAACCTTCCCCAAAAGATAAGTGAAAGATGGTATGTTCAAGTACAACTGGGTCTTGCATTCAGACCAGCCCAAGCACAGGGTCAGTGGTCTCAAGGGCTGCTACACAGCCGTCTGTTGGCACCCAGAGTTCTTTACTCTGACAGCCATTCTTACACTTCTTTATGACACTGGACTTTAAATGCCTAATTCAAGTTTCCTAAATGTAAACAGTTGGTGCCCTTCTGCTACCTGGTGCATTTGAGTTCTCTGGGCAGAGCTGACACATATGACATGAGACCCATAGGAGACCCATACACTTTTGGAACAAACACCAGAGAGCAGGTCACACACCCCCAAACATCCAACATGTCACATGGTGTTTGCATATGCTGAGTAGCACCTCATCCCAACAGCATGTTGGTGCTGTAGAAGCAGAGGGACTTCCAGACCTCCTCAGGAGGCACTTCTCCCTGAAACAACTACTGTTCATCTCTGGGGTTGTGAGACCACAGATTGGCTGGTCACCTTGAAAGGGCATTCATTAAAATAGATCAAGACCAACTGAGAGACAGGAAAGGCTCTTGATACTTGCAAAAGAAAAGCTACTAATTTTGCATCCAAAAGAGAAATGATGTATTTTATCTGCATTATAATTCAGTTGAGGATGAAATAACTGTGTGCTTTTTACTTCTTACTCTTCCACATCCCCTGGAAACAAGGCTTAGACATTAAAGATAACTTCTGCTTGGGGCATGTCTTCTTTGTCTAGTGACATTTCACAGGGTTCTGTTTCAAAGCAGCAAGGAGTTCCTAAAGAAAATTGCATGAACGCTAACAAGATCGTTTGACTTTGTTCTTGTTTCCTAGACATATTCAACACCACTGCTGTATATATTACTAAAGTTTTTGAAGAGCTATAGGTCCTCTTTTGGTTCTGTTTATGTGGCATTGATACCTGCCTGTACTCTGCAAAATAATCACCACATTTTCAGACCTTACTCAGCCTTATTGCTAAAGATAATTTCAGATTTCCAGAGAAAGTATCATAAATATTTGCTAGTGTATGTTTCCAAAAACATAACACTTCTGTGGAAGACACTCATTGGCTTCCAGATCGTGCTGAGTTGCCAGAAATGGGCACAAACTCTATACTTATTAATTAGAAGTAGTATTGCTTGTTTTTACCTTTGTATGAAATAACTGACTCCTAATGAGTTTGGTAACAATTTATTGATTTTTATTTTATTAAAATTGCTATCATTTTAATTTTTGGTATAGGTTTAAGAATCACACTTTTATCACAGAAGAGTTACAAATGCACAATAGATGCAGTGTTTGACAACCTCTGATAAGAGTTCTCTATCTGTATTCATTTGTTACTTCTTTATTGTGACAGCTTATAGACTACAGACAATCTTTGTAGGATTAATATAAAGCTGCTATCTGCTAATCAGTTGGTTACAGAATCACAGAATAATTTCATTTTGATTACAGTGAGTCCTGTTACAGCAAATTCTCATGCAAAGAGGAAATTAAATTTCTGACGTTGCAGCAGCTTTTGCTCCTGGAGATCCCACTTACCTTCCTTCTTCTTTATGGATATCAGGTCCTGTAGTTCATGTAGAGCATCCAAAAATTCAGAAATTGTACTATTTAAAGGGTAGGCAGCAAGAGGCTGCATGTGCATCTAATGGATGCCACTGAGTAAGGGAATCCCAAGGCATGTACACATGTACCTGCAATGAGAAGTGTGTATATAAAACATTTTAATTCTGGTTAGAATAAGTGGCCACTCTATCAGGAATCCAGACGAATTCAGGCATTATCAAAACCATTATTTTGCTCAAAGTTAATCTTAATGACATTCGTTTATAGTTTCATAGTAAACAGATTACACAAGTTACTGGAAAATAATAATCCTTTCTGAGAAATGCTTCTGAGCCAGACATTGGCAGTAGTGACATCAAAATACATATTAATAGAATATGTATATAGACTTGGAATGACTGTTCCATTGGCCTAAAGTATTTTCCACACAAATAGTCTATTTTTTACTTATAACGTATATTCATCTTCAAGTTATTCCAGTATTGACAACTCTGTGTTTCAGACTAGTTTTGCCTTTTGTTTTCAACACCGTCGGTTTTTATAGGTTGTACACTTTTCTTCAGAAAAGAAGAAGAATGAACAGAATAGCCTTCTCCCTAGTGAGTATATATATGACCAACAGTTTCTCCATGCAAGTTTCCCAAAGCAGACTCCACCTACATTGCAGAACCTGGGAGAAACTTGTATATCTTGAAGCTGTACCTGAACTGTGTATTCCAGCCTGTGTATATGATCTACATATTAATTCTTATGGACGTACAGCTACAATAAGAACTTTAAAACTGACATGAAGTCAAGAATTGATTGTATTGGTTTATGTTCATACCCAAAAGCCTCTACTCCACACAGAGTTTATGGATACAATTTAATCATATTGAACTTGTAAATACAAAATATCATGAAGACTCAGTAACTGAATCTGATGCCTTCTTCAAAAGCTCCTTTCAATTTTACACACATGAAGAATTTTACTTTCAAGAACTGTGATAAAACTCCAAATGAGGGGTTGAGTGGCAGTTGCATATAAGATTCTCATGCTTCCTGCTTTCTTGAAAGCAATTGTTTGCAGTGAGCTACTTTAGCAGTCATTTCAGACACCTTTGGAAGATGAGACCATGCAACTGCAGATGCCAGCAGCAAACTCTGGATCAGTGTGTCATTCATTTTTCACTTTAACTTAATTGTTACTTGTGAGTATTCTTAATTAATGGCAGGTTATGTTACACTGATTCTTTCATCTGGATTTGGATGACAATTTCCAAACTCCTTTCTTGTCACACCAATAAAGAAGAGCTTGTATTACATACAATAACACTTCAGTTTCTGAACAAACAAATGAAGCATATTCTAAAAATCAACATCAACCAAGAGCAACTAAGAAAATAAGTTATTTAATGGTAAAAGAGTGAGGATGAGAATGAGTCTGAACCTTTTGGAACTGAATGCCTTGAAGTTTTCTGATTTCCTGGATTTTTCTTTAGGAGCAGGTATTCTTTGGCAGACAAGTTTCCTATATTTCTTTGCAGAAAGAATAACCAGAATCCAAGTATAACATGTACTAAGCAAATACCAACCAGGTAAAAGTACCAGTTCCTGTAAAAACTGAGAGAAATCCTGTCAAATACGAATCTTGTCTCAAAGATTATAGAATAATACTTGTGTAAGAAACTGAGAAGCCAAGTGATCTTATTTGACCTGAAATCGTATTAGTGAAAACCATATTGTGTTAAATAGAGGGATATTCTTTTCAGGAACTATCTTGAGCTGGTGGCCAACTCAATTGAAGACTGGGTGACAGAGGAAGAAACTAAATACCAAAAAGAGAAGATGGGTAAGGAAATAGAGTCTTTCAAATTGGAAAAAGTCACAGCAGAAGGCCCTTTTGGACTGTCTGCCAGTGCTGTCAAAATACCTGGCTTTACTTAGAAAGCCAAAAGTGGGTATCTTTTTATTGTATTCTAGGAAATTAATTTTTCACTTTAAGTGCTGAGACACAAATTTGTGCAGAGCAGAGTTGCGTGTCTTTTTCTTAGGATGACCCTGTTTTGACATCTATATAGGCATAAATATGTTTTGGAATTAATTAAAAATATATATTTATATATTCTGCAACTTTCTCTGTTCTGAAAACTGACACCTTTTTTAGTGTCAATTTACATCTTTAATAGCTGTGCTTATCTAATGAGATTAAAGATTACATACAAATATGAATATGTTCAGATGACTGAACATAGGAAGAGGTGAGAAGTGATTAAAGCTGGCGACATTATTCATGAAAATTCCTTTTTAAAGGGCAGGATAAAAGCTGGAATTCAGAAGCTGTGGGCTGGAAGCTAAAACTAAAAACTTGAATTGACAAGACTGCAGAGCAAACGTGAATTAAAAGCAATATTTTGGGTAGTGAAAATTGTAAGCAGCTCATGTAATAACTGTTCAGCAGGCAGCAGAATCTCAAAACCTCAAAAAAGAACTTATGTCAAAAGTATCTACTTGTATATTTAAATGGCATTAACAATGATTTGTTTATGTTTAACCTTTATTTTCTTATCTTTTTTGAGAATGCACTTTGAAACCTCCCAGGACAGGCAGTTAGCATTTACAAAAATAGAAACAGTACTCCTCAACCCAGTTAACACCTCTGATTATAGTTTGGAAACTAAAAGTACAGTTATGACTGCTAAATCATAATTTGTACATATCTAGCTGTCACAAGAGTTAGATTGAATTTTGCCCATGTGGTGCTTCATGACAGTTATGATTCATAGAGTAATTCACTTGCTGAAAGGACATCATCACCTCTCGCTGGAACACGCAGATGGGCAACAGTGTCCTTAGGTGTTTTCAATTTCACTGACACTGCAATTTCTGCTTTATCATACAAAGTAATTTAACTAGAAGCTTCTGATAGTGTACTTTAAATTATCTTTTCTATAAGGTAAATATGGGGTATCCAAGCATAGTATAAAACTACACTTAGAGAAGATATTTTTTTCATAAGTCATAGACGTTATAAAGCCATAAAAGTAAATGAAGGATATGGTGAATGTTTCTTTAGTGAAAGTTTGAAGGTTCAGATAGCATTTATTTGGGGTTTTTTGTCCTGAAAGGTTGCAGTGTCTATGACTCTGTTACTGAGCTTGTTCTGGCTCAGTAAAAAACAAACTTACTGCCAGAGCAAAACCTTCAATAGCGAGAAGCAGAGAGCCAGTCTTTATGCATGTTGTTGATATAATATTTAGTGTATTTGGTCCCCAGTTATGAGAATCAAGTTTCTTCTAACCTAAACAGACTTTCTGTTTTATTTCTAGATATTTTTAAGGTTTGCTTTATTGTACTGTTATGCTTCCCCTATTTATAAATATACATTTTTATTTACTCGCACATCTTTGTTTTCTCACATTTTAAAAAATTATTCTATTTTCCTGTGTTTATAGCCTCACTTATTCTCCCTTTCAATTTTCAAAGGCAGCATGTCCGGACCTGAGGATGAAACAGAGTCCCAATCGAAGAATGAAGAAAGTCTCATTATCAGAGAAGATTCTCTAAAGGTGAGGCAAAAAAATAAATATGTTTCTGAAATGGACTAGATAGCACTGCTTTCCTAGGAAGGTAAGCCTTTTTTCTTTACATGGGCATCCTCTTAGTTTTTCTGCTCTTTGTTATTTTATGTGTATGTTATTTTCTGTAATTTATTCCTTATTGATTGTGAATTATGTTACATTGTTTTCTTAAGGGAAGACTATTCGGAGTTAGACTAGGCATTTCAAAGTAATTTATAGTTGCAATGCTAGGAAGTGAAAGTTATGGATACTATCCTACTATTTACTGAAGTTTTCTGATTTTAAAGGTATTAAAAGATCCAGATTCATGGAATTACCCTTGTGTACCCAACTGTACTTTTACTGTCTGCATCTCTTTGAAATTAGGGAGTGTAAATATGGTACCTCAGAGTTCCCTTATGTCAGACAATCTCATTTTATAGATTTAGTCCATGACCATTCACTACAGATTAATTAACTTGCCCAGGTTTACACAGTAAATTTCTGGCTGAGGTGGGGATTAAGCACAATTAAGCACACAATTTTTTAGGTCTTAGCATTGGTACTATCCATTAATCTGCACAAATCTCGTTTTATTGATATTGTATCCCCCTGCACTTTTTTGACTCCTCACAGACATGTCTCACCTTCCTCACAGTGTGTAAGGCTGTGCAGTTCAAGTCCTGATATGGAATGTAGACAGGGAATGAGGCTAATTGTCACAGTTCAATCGAGGCTAACACCTGACTTGTAACTCTCAGTGCTTGTCATTTCTACCTCAGAAATGCTTCTGCTTTCATATGTTTAGACTATAAAGTGCTATAAAACCCTAAATACTCGAGAAAATCTCAAATGTCTTCTTGATGCAAGCTGATAATTTTGGCATTGACACCTCATTCCTCTTTCTGTAAAAAAATAAAATCATTTTATCTCACAGTTGCAATAGGATAATAAACTAATACCAGTGATGCGTTGTGGTTTGGTGGTAAACATTATGGAAAAGTATTCAACAAAATCATTCTCCCATGACTTATTGTGTAAGATATGAATAAGCACCTGATTAATCTCCTGTGGTCAACTGTGGCTGCTGTTGTAGATTGAATGAATCAGTAATTCTGTCCAAAATTTGGTGCATAATATTGTAAGACTTTTGACATATTTGGAAATGTGTCTTAGCTTAGAACTTTGATTCCTTTGGTTTTGTTTGCTTCTACTCTTTTCAGAGTGCATATATGAAATATCTTGTAGTAAAAAGAAAAACACAGTCTAACTCCTAATGTTGAATGTAGGCTTGGAAGATGGAGCAGGACCGATTACAAGAGGAACAGAAAAAAGAAAAGGAAGAAAAACAAGAAAAGGAAGAACAATTACAAAGTAAAATGAAAGAACAGTATAAAAATGATAAAGAATGTAGAGAATCAAACAGGAAATCTTCTGAAGAGAAGTCTCAAAATGAGTTAGCAAAAGCCCCTGAACTTGAGGAGGATCATAGCATTTCAGAACTATGTTCTGAGAAAGTTTATAAGGTAAGGAGTTGTATTAATATACCACATTAGAAAAGTCCTAACTATATATAGAGTCAAGATTACAGCAGAGCTATTATCTATTGTGAAATTTGAGTTCAGGGCAAATTAGGCCTAACTGGGTCGTGTTACCTCCATTGTTTTAGCAGCAGATCCATTTCTAAAAGTTTTAAAAAGCAGTTCTTGACGTTCAAGATTATCCTAGACTAGATTATTTAATTATTATTTTTAGTGTAATATGACATGAACACAAACATAAGTTGATAATGTTGAGGTTTTCATGGGAGAGGATAGGAAAGGGGAACATAAGAACTTGTCCCATTTTCCAAAGTAAAGAACTACTAGACCTAGTTGAAATTTTGACTGTCCACGCTGGAAATCACTGTTTCTTACATTTCTTCTTTCAAAATTCATGTTCTTGAAGTGCCCTAATCTAAAATATGTATTTTTCCTGTATTTCAGAAAGTAACTCCTTTGGCATATGTACAATGGGAAATGTAGAGCTCAGCTCACTCTTGCAGATTAATGTGCATCAAATCTAAGCTGTAACTGTGCTTCATTTCCCTAGCAATCCCAGATAGTTCAATGGAGACAGCAGGTCCCCTTTTTCTGCCTGTTGCAGTAAGACAGGGAGCTCTTCACTGGTTATATTCAAATAGATTTTCAGCAGTTTGCACCACCTTGAATTTGCAGAGTCTGTCTTACATCCAAAACTTGCATACATCAACATAATTCAGTCCAAATCTGCTTTGTTTGAAGTACAGACTTCAAACTCAGAAATAGATGACAATTCAGTCTGAACTTATTTGAATACAGTCATGTAATTTTTGCCATCTTGTGGCACTCATGAAGGCATAGAAATCTAATTAGATTTACAATATCTGAATTCCAAAACCTAGAGAGTAAAAAGTTGAATCTTTATCTGTCCTTTATGTGATCCCATGGCACTGTACTTTGTCTCTTTGTACTTGATCAGAACTTTTCCTTTCTCTCACACTGTATGTTAATCCACCACTCTACTTGCTACTCTTCATTTTCCATGATGGTTTTCACATGTAACGAGTTACTTCAGTTAATAACAGGGAAATTATTTAGATGTGACAATAGCATGCTAGATATTTTCTCAGGGTTTTATTACATTAGTTAAATAGCTAAGCAAAAGGTGTTGAGCAGTACAGTGTGATCCTGATGATCTCTCCTTCATTTACTTCTTTAATGGGTTCTGCTTTTCTTATTTACAGATAATTTTAACTTGTTTTTTCCAGTTTCATGGCTACAATACAGGGGAGAATATCATTCAAATATCAGGAACCAATCAATATCTTTTCCCATCCGATGGAGGACAGATTCAAGTAGAGAAGACAGAGTTTGTGAAAAGTGATTATTTCTTTATGCTTTGTTTTGACTCAGTGCTAACTGATAGAATAATTTCTTAATCCATAAATGCTTTTTCATGTCTCGGCAGTAAAAATTCAGTTCAAGAAATTCCATATTAGGTTCTATCACTGCTACTCTTTACAGTTACCTCTAATATGATGACAGTTGATAGATAAATGAAGTACCAGAAAACTAGAAATGCAGACAAAAGAGTTTATATTTATTTGTTCAATGGCAACTGATGCATGATATTTCCAGAATGTTCGAGTTATTTTTCCAGTCAAATGCAATATATCTAAGCAACAGATTCTTCTGCAGATTCTCAGATTTAATTATCAGGGAGTTTTAAAATATTTAGTCTAAACTCAGATAATCTTAATTTTGTCACCTTGGTTTTCTACTACATGATTCAGTCCAGTTATGAGCAATTTTAACTTTTTGAGTGCTTTAAATTTGCAGATGCACCATTTATTTGAGTTCAAATAAGTTCTGAAGCCTGGTGGAAGCAATAATAGTATTCCATTGCTTTACAGAAACTTTTATAAAGGTGAAAGTAATGAAAGACAACCACAATTTCTTCATTCATGTCACAGACCCCAAGGAAAACTTCAAAGAAGCTGAAGAGCAAGAAATTAATGAAGAACAGCAAATTAGATCAGGTCAGTGGATTGATGTCACTGATATAAAGAATTAATAGTTTGACATATTTAATAACTGGATGCAAAACTTAACAACTAACAGAAAATATATTGTAACTAATAACAGAGAGTAAGAAAAGTTGGTGTTCTATAAAACAAAGTAAAAATCCAGTTAGCTGGCTTCAGCACTGTACAGAGAGGTCTTAGCAAGATGTAGAAGCACAGTGCAGGTCAACATGTGCAAACCAGTCTCTTTTCCAAAGCAAGGAAATCACCATTCCTTAAGAAAATAGTTTTCTTCTTTAGTGGAGGACTCATTGGGATCTTAAAGTGGCCTGAGAAAGCCTAAGAAGATGAAAACTGGATTCTGTCCATTGTGACTACTCTTGAAAGGAAGATTTCCCCTTTTGATATGGACTTCCTTTTGTGGGTCAGATGACCATATCATTACTGCCTCCTCAAGATCTTTGCTTTGAAAACTGATCTTTCTGCAATCCAGGAACTTCTACTGTTGGTTGACATACTGTTAATACTCAGAAAGCATTGAATATAAATCCTTTCTGAACCCAGGTGAGAGTGTTTCCAAGGAGGAAGCCAGTTTGTAATAATTCGTGTATATGTTTGCCAAAAGCCTTATGGAATTGCTATTATCAAACTGAAGAGTATTAAAAAAGGATAATTTAGACATATTATCTCTTTTCTTCTTCATCAATGTTAGAAAGCATCCTGCTCTAGCTTCTCCCCTTGGTTTACCAGCGATGTAATTGTAGGTTGTTTAATTACAAAATTTCTATCCCTTTTATGGACAAGATTTTTCTTGTCTGCACTTCTGACAGCTGACATTCTGGGGTCTGCTGGACACTACTGGCAATCACCAGTGTGTGAGTATCTGAGACATGTTGTATTCACTGGACACAAGTGCCATGCTTTCCTCCCATGTAAACAGGAGCAGAAAGAAAGGCAGCAGGGAAGACAAGAATCAATCCACTCTGATGTTTGACAGAGTCTGGATGGTACATTGGTAAATATGTAAAGCAGTCAAAATTCCCAAACAGCATCCTACAGGTGGTATTCAGCCATAAGCTGCAATGACAGACAAGAAATAGGAGCAGATGAGGCCTTAGGATGTGTCCCATGTTAAGTTTGGGAGATAGCTCAGCCTACCTTAACCTTCTTTTGTAGTCATCTCTGCTGCTCCTCACCATTTTAAAAAGCTGTTTCCCATATGGGGAATCCCAAGTTTTTCTCTTATGAACAGAACATTTCTTTAAGGTAGTAGCAGCTGAAGTAGAGGCAAGGAAGGACCCAGTGTCTGGAAGGTATATCGTGCCTAGTTCATGTGATTTTCACCATGACATACTCATCACATGACACCTTGATCTGCACCTCCATGTAAGTTTTGACTCCTGATCCACATCCCAGATGTATCTTTGGATCTAATTTCTCAACTTTTTGTCCTTTCTTTTACTTTCTCCTCAAAGTATACACACAGAATCATAGAATATCCTGAGTTGGAAGGGAACCTCAGGGATAATCGAAGTTCAGCTCCTGTCCCTGTGACAACATCTGAGGGACAGTGATTTGTATTAGTGCATAGGCCACATGCAGTTTTTAAATGGGCAGTTTAACATTCTTGTCAGCCAAGAAACAAGGATCCATAACTCCAAAACTAGGTTCTTTTACTGCTTAAATTCCATAAGATTTTACACTAGTTGTTGCTATTAAACCTGGTTTTACACACCTAGCTAATTAGAATGCTGTTTCTGGGTAAAAAGCCACACATGTATTGCACAAAACTGACTATTATGTAGTACTCTATGAATGGAATGTTGATTTTCCCTGCCCTATTTAGTCTATTTAAGTTAGTCATCCTCACTGAGGTCTCACTTTTCACACTAGCCATTGGTTTACAGGTCAGGTGGTTCTGTTATGTGTTGCTGTCTTTGAAATGAATTCTTTCTTTTTTTTTCTTTTTTTTTTTCTGAAGGAGAACTGAAAAATCAAAAGAAAGCTGTGAGCAAGTTTGGGTCTTTTTCAGCCACCTTGGAAAATGGAATCCAGCTGTCCCTGAGCTATTATGGACCTACAGGGGAGGCAGCAGGTAAAGTAAGCAAATAGAAGAGGATATTTGAGAGCCATAGGGGAAATTTTTTTCTCCTTTTTTTCCCCCTTTATACACTCCTTAACCCAATAATTTGTTGTATGCAATTCTACCTTTCTCAGCAGCTGTTATTACATGGTAGGGAATTTTCATCAAGGCTCAAAATGAGACTAAATTGTCAAGAATATTCTATGATTCAATTTTCAAAATGGAGGGAAGTCTCCAAGCTTTTCTGCTTACTGTGAAAACAGAGTACTGCAAGTATTGTTATTAAGTAGCCCAGCAAAATCAGCCAATTAATTTGAGGCAAAGAAAATGTGATTTGCTGAGGAGTCTTCTTGGTTTTCCAAGAAATAATATTTTTGTAAACTTATATAGGCGATTATGGAACTTTCATTTTACTTTAGGAGTTGGACTTTAGGTTACAGTTGTGCAGACATAATGAGGGATTTCTCTCAGCCCTTCAATAAACACATTCACCAACTGGAAGCAATTGCTTCAGAAAACCACAGTGAAAACAGCATCTGCTTTTACCAAGAGCTTTTTGTTTCCATTACATTTGAAAGGCCACTGAAACTATCTTATGGAAAAAAGTGAAACCCTTCTCTGATCAGAAAATAAGTCCAGCATTTTTCAGCTCTTAAAATATGAAAACATTTAATTGAATGCATCTTTGTGTGGACTGTGGTAAACCATTCAACTCCAACACTCAGTTTTAATTGTTCAAATATATTTTACAAATTAATTACAAAAAAAAAGGCTTTTTAGAGTTGGGCCAAGGGAGCATTCACAATAGTGGCCCACCAAAAACTTGGATTTTGGCATAAAAGAGAGACGTGTTTGATTGAGCACCTACATGTCAGATGTAATGTTTAGGCTTTTTCAAATTCACCATAATCATCCTATTCTACATTAAAATAATCCTTGCCATGTTGATCTTTAGAGCACTACTAACTGGCATTCTTTGGTTAATTTTTCTGTAATTATTTGCTTATGCCAAATTCCCGTGGGTCTTTGTATCGTAAGTGCTCAGAATAATTCTGACCAGAAATACTCAGATGATTCTCATATGCCATCCATTCCTAATGCAGAATGGTATACCACGAAATCTGCAGTTTCTCTCCACTGATCAGTTAAATTGTGTGCAAATTACCCTTTTTCCCTGCAGTACTGAAATAGTTTTCTGGAAACACTCTAATTCTCATTTTTCTTACTGTTTTTCAACTTTATCTATTTCATCCTCCTTTTAGGGAAGCTAAGGTGACAAAAAGCCTAAAGTTGTTTTTCAGCTTTATACAACTTTATTTTGGGAGGAAATGTTAGTATTTCTTTGTGTTTTGAATTATTTGTTTTCTCCAGCAATGTCAAAGGTTAACTTCTGATCACCTTACATTTATGTCAGAAATAATCTCCTTGTCTCTTTATGAATCTGGGACTGCTTGAGCACCTCCAGGGCTTTGGATTCTGGATACTACAGAACCTCTGTACTTGCTCTTTATGTCTTGACAAAATTATGAGAGTACAATTCCAAGTCCTAGACATGTGAATGTGTGTATAAAAGGAGGGAAACCTTCCTTAACAGACAGTCCTCTGAAATTTTACATCTCTCTCAAGATTTCTAAAGGCACTTTATCTCAGTCTTGACAATCCACTCTTTTTCATTGTTACCCTCAGACACCATGTTCTCATTTCTGGAGGCAACCAAAATAAAGGCATAGGTGAAATTTCTGTGAAAGTGAAGTGTCAGTTTGTTGAAATAATTACAGAAAGTGTAAGTTTGTATTTCTTTTATTTTCAAGAAATTGTTTTGAAAGGCAACATGACTACTTCCCATTGACATGAGCAGCAGGCTGTCCTAATGCTTGGCTTGAAGAATTGCAAGAGTCTTATCAAGTCTAGATCGTTAGAATCTTTCTGAAGAATTATAGCAAAATAGACCTGTGTGGTACAAAATTTCTAGAGTCAGTCTGTGCTGGATCAGCCCATGATAAAGCATAACACAGTGATCATTTACGAGATACTAGATTCAGAATGTCTCCACTTCTAAGTATTCTGGAGGTAAAAGAGAATTTTAAAATTGCTTTGGTTTTTTTTGGTGTGACAACCAAGGGGCAACTTGTAGGAAGCAGTAGTTTCAAGATGTCTTTTAGGTTAATAAGTTGTCAGTCTGTGGAAATATTTTCTAAAAACTCTTATCTATTTAGTCCCTCTATCTGAAATAAAAAACTCCCCACAGAGGTTATTATTTCTAAGGTAAAATTTAGTGTACAAAATGTTTTTAAAAAATAAAATGTGACCATCTACATTTATGAAACTTAATTACATTGAAAATATTGCTTTTCCCTTCCTTAGATGATGAAACACGTTTTATGTTAGCAAGAATTCTGAACATCCCTTCTGTTCATCTTCCAACCGTAATTCCGACAACAGTTGCTCCTATTATACCAGGTCTGCGAAAAAAAGATAAGTCTGACACAAAAAAATCAGCAAAAGCTTCTGGTAAAGGAAACCGTGACAAATTAGCCCCTTCATCACCTGATGACCTGGTGCAGCAAGAAGAAGAAAAGGTCAGAGAAGAGACAATATCCAATCCAAAGAAACAAACAAAAATTCAAATACATGAACTTCTGTAAGAGAAACATACATTCTTTCAGAGGGCTTTGAGCTGTGCCTTTACAAATTCTTAACAATTTGTAGTGCTCTTAAGGATATTTTTTACTCTTTCAGTTGTTCTCAGATGTATGTATTGGCAGCTGTTAATGAACTTAGTCTTTATGACTCTGTGATGTAAAGCAGTGAGTCTGCCATGGCCCACATGGTTTTGTCAATTTTGGCTTTACAGTTACTGCTCTTACACTGCAGGTGATCAGAGGGCTGGAGCACCTCTCCTGCAAAGACAAACGGGAACAGTTGGAATTGTTCAGCCTGGAGAATAGAATGCTCCAGGAAGACCTTAGAGTGCACATTCCAGTACCTAAGTGAGGCTACAAGACACCTGGAGGGGGACTTTTTACCACAGCATGTAGTGACAGGGCAAGGGGAAATGGCTTTAAACCAAAAGATTAAGATTAAATATTAGGGAAAAATTCTTGACTGTGAAGGTGGTTGAGGCACTGGAACAGATGCCCAGAGAAACTATGGATGTCCCATCCTTAGCAGAGTTCAAGGCCGGGTTGGATGGGGCTTTGAGCACTCTGGTCTAGTGGAAACTGTCCCTGTCCATGGAAGGGGGTTGGAACACAACAATCTTTAAGGTCTCTTCCAACCTAAACCATTTTATGATTATTAATATCTCAAGATATTAATTACAAGAACTGCTAAATTTTTACTTTATCTAAGTAGAATTTCCCTGTGCTTCCTGAAACCCATATTCAAAAGTCTAACCAAATTACTCTAAGTAAATTAGTGAAGACAGTTTTGCAGAATCTTGCTCTGTAAATTGGTCTTTCCAGCTGATAACAAGCCAGGGACCAGCAATTTGAGGAAGGTACTTTTGCCTTTAACTGAAGTACTTCTATCACAGTACAGGTCTTTGGAAAGAATGAATGAATCTTTGGAAAGCACATTCTGAATTTCTGTTCTGAAGTAGTTTTTAGTACCTCGTGGTTGAAGTAACACTGTGACTGTTGCAAAACAGATTCTGTGTATATCCACAAAAAAAGGCTCCTTACCTAATTTCAGCATGGAAAGTGGTGTAGAGAGTTGCCAAACAGCACTCAGCATAACATACAGCACTTGTGTGACACAAACGAACTCTAAAGAAAAATATCTCTATAATTAAAAATCTGTCAGGATGACTTCTAAACCAAAAGGCTTTTATCTCCTTGGTTTGGAATTACTGTTTGGAGCAACAGTTCTATAGAGACAGATCTGAGAGTTGTCATGGATCACAAGCTATCTGTAAGTCAACAATGCCATCTTCTTGTGAGAAGGCCAAAGACCACTGAGATGTGATTACAGAGGAGTATAGACTGCTAAATATGTGAAGTTATTTTTCTTTTAGTGCTGGTGGAGTCTCAGTTGGAGTATTGTGTCCAGGATACTACTGGATACTGCACTGCAAGAAAAATATGGGCCACATTGAAAGTTTTAAGGAAAGCATGAAGAAAGATTACAGGTCTAGAAAACTTAACCAGTGGGAAAGATTTAAAATAATTGATTTGGGTTTGTTTGATCTTTAGTTGAGAGACAGAATAGCCTTCTGTAAAACCTAAAAAAACCCCATCATCTCTTATATGAGCTCATATCATCATCAGAAGTATTTAGAAGTAAACTAATTTTCTTTAGTAGTCATCAAGTCAATCAATGGGAAAATGTCAATAAGGTTAATCAGGGTAAAGCTGTGGATTAGTTTACCAGGAAACCTCCAGCCCTGGAAATTTTTAGAATACATTACATTAGAATTTTTTGCTACTGGTGTAGTTATACTTGATTTTTTTTTTTTTACCATTAGACAGGGACAAGTAGGTGACAACTGAGGGTTACTTCTGCCCTATTCTGTGACTTCTACCTCATGATGCTGTGACTACAATCTTAGGGTATTGAGAGTAGCCTTAATTACCAGTAATATTATATAAATTAACTGTAAAATATACAGCATCTTTTATGCTGAAAAACAGGTGGCTAAATATCTGCCATTTCCACCCTATGTTCCTATTCCTAAAAAGCAAGAATATGGGATAATACCAGGACAAGTTCTCTCTCTTACCTATGTGTGCAACCCAAAATGTTTTTCATCTTATGGCTACTGGCATAGTGTAGTCCATTGTTACATAGGTTTTTTAAGGAATGATTCTTCAAGTTGAATTAAAGAAGATAGCATAATCAAAGAAAATAATTAGTTTTTCCAATTCTGAATTAAAGAAGATAGCATAATCAAAGAAAATCATTAATTTTTCCACTTCTGAATCCATAAACTCTGAAAATGTTAAATGTGAGTGGTAAACAGCACTTAAAAAAAAAGTATTTTTAAAACGGAATCTGTACAGACTAAATCTGTACTCTAATTTTTTCGTTATTATTTTAAAATGTGGAATAGAATTTGATTAATTCTTTCTTCTGTAGATGGAAATGGAAGAACCAGTTCCCCAAACACAAGAGATGTCAGATGCTCCTGCTTTTCCAAGTTTGAATGTTTCCTGTCCCAATGGACTTGTATTAACTTTTCTTGGTGAAAGGTTTCAAGGTTAGTTTTCTGAGACACTGAAAAGTAAGGAATTTTAGAGAAGCTAAGACTACAGAAGAAAACTATTTCTTCATTGATGGGTTTAGATGTAACTTTAATGTTTTTAACATGTCAGAGTGCTAAGTCTGTGATAATGTCTATTTAATAGTATTTACAATATGAATAATATGGTTTTATTCAAACAAATATAAAATCTAGATTCACAAGTTGTTGAACGTAAAAGATTGAGGGCAAGGAAGTAGTAACCCCTAAAAGCCCTTGGGAGTCATGTTGAATAATCATTTGAATATGCATGTAGATTGGAATACTAAAGAAAAACAAGCAAACTCATTAAATAAATACATATATATTGAGGAATCTTGAGTGACAGCAGGCAGATGGTTCATTACCTGTATCTACACTACCTTTGCAAGCATATATACTTAAGTCCCCAAGAAAAAATGTTAATAATTTGGAAGATTTGGGGAAGAATTACAGGAATGATTAAAGCATTCTGATACATCAGAAGATGCATCTTTTAGTGAGCTCTTTTCACCAGAGAACTCAATTAAATTACCAAAGAAATGGTCAAAAGAGTGAGTGGTGCCAGCCTGGAAGTACAAAGAAACAGAATTTTGGTGGTAGCTTGTAAACACAGTATACAAGTTTTATGAGGCTTGAAACTGAAAGCTAGGACTTTTTACTAGATTAAAGTTATACTCATTTGGTAAGAATGTTACACTGGTAAATGGTAAGAATTATTAAAATAATTAACCAAGGCTGTGATGGAGTCTCTGCTACTGGATGTTTTACAATCAGGTTTTTTGGTTGCTTTTCTAAAAGTTGCAATCAATTTCCAACAGGAATTATTTCACAGAAGTCCTTTGGTTTATGCCATCCAGTACATACAGAGAAAACACTCACAATAAGCCTTTCTGCCCTTATAATTGGATTTCCTTTAGAAGACTAATGAGATATATGGATACTTTAAAGCTTCCGTGCCTGACAAATATTCTGCAATAATTATTTTTTCTGTGTTTTTGAAAATCAGTGTTAGGTTCATCTTTGCATGTTGTAAACTGTAGTAAATCTTCGGGTTTTTTTATCATGCTGTTAGGTTTTGAAGCAGACAAATGAGAATTTTGTTGTCATTTAGTTAGTTTTAAAAACAGCCGTGTACACATGTCATTTAATGCTTATGTACAACAAATCTGTACAGCCCCATAAATGCGCTCTGATTTTTCTGCTATGAAGTAAAGAACATGCAGAGTGTTCTCAAACATACATAGTTTGGCAAGAAGCATAAGTTGAAATGCTGAGTAGAGGAGGTGAACCGAGCAATTACAGACACTTACATGGAGACTCAATAAAATTAGCATAATTATACCCCTTTTATTAGACTCAAAACACTGCCATCATTTAATCTAAGAAACTTACTTGCTCAAGCAGACAGATTATAGTACTTGGGTTTTTATACAAATTCAAGCTTGGTGAAACTCAGTTGGGGTTTTGTTTTCACCTTTATGGGCAGTTAGGGAATTTCTCTCACCTGATGTTAGTCTTCCAAAAGTTTGGCATCCATAATAAACCCATCTTCAAATTTCCCTTGTTTTCATTTGGAAAGACAGCCACCTTCACAAGAAGATGCAGAGTTTCTGAGTAGGTGACTGTTTTGTACTTTGCTCTAAAATCAGAGTCTATCTTTTACTCTCTGGATGATAGATTCAGCCAAGGAGGGTTAGTCTTACTCAGCTGAAGTTGCATATCTTCTGTTGACACCATGACGCTGGGTGTGTAGCACTGTTTGAATGTGTGCTATGCAATATTAAGTAATTGAAAGTTTGCTTTCAGATTTGAAAAGTGAAGCCACTGCCACAGAAGCAGAGAAAGAGATGGTAGAGGAAAGTAAGAACAAAACAGATGAAGGAGAGAAGGAAGAGGTTATGCAAAGTGGAGAGGAGGAAGAGGTTACAAAAAGTGGAGAGGAGGAACATCAGGTTACAGAAAGTGGCGTAAAACACGAAGACACCAAAAGTGTACAGGCTGAGCAGCCTACTCTGAAAATTCTGGTTAGACAGAGTTATCCCCAAAAGGTAAAAAACTCTCATCTTTATTCACCTCCAGCGAGGCAAACAGAACAAGAGGTGTCAAGAGTCATCACTAGTCATGGAACTGTCATAAAGTACCTAATGGATGGATCTACACAGGTATATTTAGTAGAATTCACTGTAAGGAGTACAATTTAGTGCAGTTCATTGTAATGGAAGGTGATTACCCTTAAACTTGTTTTTGTCTACTGAGATCAAGAAGTGTCCAGTTTGTAGATGAAGTAGTTAACTAATACTGAATTATGCAGCCATGTCAAGACTAAAACACTATTGGCTTTGTTCAGAGTCAGAACTGAGGGAAATTTAAGTATGAAAATTTCAGGCACAAGAAGATTTTAGGCAACTTTGTGATTAGGAAATAGCTCAATATGGTTTGGAGAACCACATTCCTGAACTTAAGCTTCTGAAGTGTGGATTAGTTAAGCTTTGAGTATTTTCAGCACTATGAAAGCATTCATATATTTTTTTCAGTTTAAACACTCATATGAGATCCAGAAAAGGTCTGAACTGTTTTTCAGTCCTGCAGACACTTTCACGTATCCTAAATTTTTAGGGGAAAAGTCTGTATATTCCTAAGTACCTGCTTTGTTTACACATGTTTAGGTTGTCTAGAATTTTGGTACAGTTTAGATTGTATAGGCTATCTTTGCAAATACTGTAATTGATCTACAAGCAAAGTTTTTTTTTTAACTAAGACTCTACATGTAGTTAGCAAAGAGATAAAAAGAAGTCATTTAATTTGACTCAGAATCTGTCTAAATAATTCCTTATTTCCTGAATTTATTTTTCCTGTCTAAGTAGACCACAATGCCTAATGTAAGTTCTTTATATTTATTCATCACACTAGATGTTAAAACGTTTAGCCAGGATTCCTGAGAAATATATCCATTTCAGAAACATGCAGGGAAACTAACTGCTGTATGTCTATATATTCGCAACATACTGTTTCCTGATAGAAAAATGTAGATCTTATGTGCCTAAAATGGTTTTACAGCAGTTTTTGTTTAAACAGATTATGAATGCTTCCTTTTTAATATTAACTTAATGTCTATGAATCATCAGAAATTTATTGGATATAATAAGCATTTAAAAAAGAAGACATCTTTAATTCCTTTCATATTTAACTCCTTAATTCCTAATTTCAAGAGTTGTTTCTATATGTTTCCCATTTCTTTTCTACATTGTACTGAATAGAAATTAATTTAGGGATGGTTGGAGTAATTCTAGAATTTATCTGACACACAGAGAACATGCATATCAATAGTTGAGTGTAATGGATCTCAGAAACCAATTTGATGAAAAACCAAGACTTCTTTTGGTTAACTATCATAATGGCTAAAAAATTCAAAGTGGTCCTAGACATGTGGAATATCTCAGTACAGATCAATATGTCAATAGTGAGGCATTCTCACCACTACCAAAAAAAAAGGCCATTAACCTGTGGCCATTTAGTCAAAGAATAATCTTTACTGTTTATTTTTATAAGCCATTTTATTATTAGAATAGTCCCCATTAATTATATCCATGGAGTGCAGCAAATAGCACTCCTTCTGACAGTGACTAATGGGATGAAATTTAACAAAACCAGCTGTTGGATCCTACGTGTGGGACAGAGTAATGCCAGGCACCAGTACAAACTGGGAGAGGAGTCTGGAGAGTGTCCTGCAGGAAGAGCCCTGGGGGTGCTGGTGGGCAGCAGCTCAGTGGGTCAGCAGGGTGTGCCCGGGCAGCCCAGAGGGCACAAACCATGTCCTGGGGGAATCAAACACGGCAGCACAGTGGGGCAGAGGGGAGATCATCCACTGTGCTCAGCACTGGTGCAGCCTCACCCAGAGTGCTGGGAGCACCTCTGAGCACCACCACTCCAGAGGGGTGGGAAGGTCCTGCAGCGTGTCCAGAGGAGAACAACAAAGCCAGTGGAAGGGATGGCAGGTACATCCTGTGAGGAGGGGCTGAGAGCTCTGTGCTTGTTTGCTTTGGAGACACAGAAGCTGAGGGTCAATGTCCTTGCTCTCTGCAGCTCCCTGACAGAGGAAGTGCAGAGGGAGGTGCTGATCCCTTCTTTCTGGGATCCACTGACAGGACACATGGGAATGGCTCAAAGGGGCACTAAGGAAGGTTCAGACTGGACATTGGGAAGCATTTCTTTACCAATACAGTGGTCATACACTGCAACAAGCTTGCTAGAAAGGTGTTTGATGCCCCGAGGTTGTCAGTGTTAAAGAGGCATTTAGTCAATGCCATTTGACAAGATGCTTTAATTTGGTCAGCCCTAAAGTGGTGGGGCAGTTGGACCAGGTGGTCATTGTAGATCCTTGCCAACTGAAGCAGTCTGTTCTATTAATTCTCTTTAAGATAGCTTCTTTATTTCTTGTATTAATCTAAGAGATTTTACATTTTTCCTCTCCATCACCCGCAGTATTCTAATGACTATTGCATTTGTGATACATTCTTTTAAGACTTTCTAGTGGTGTTTGAATTGACTTTAACCTCTAGTATGTCCTTGATTCTGTAGATTCTGTTTGCTGATGGCACTGTGAGTAGGAGCCCTGATTCTGGTCCTGTCCTACCACCACCTACAATTCCAGATAAAATACAACGCTTATCAGAATCAGAGCTTTTACCTGAGACCAGCACCAAGAAAGGTAACATTTCTTGTGTTTTGGATAGATATAAAGTTAGTAGGGCTGATGATGCTTAATAAAGGGCATATTTCTTTAGTTTGAAAAGTCTGACAGTGTGAAAATGCAATTTTACCTGTGTTCAGCTGCTGCACGCTGCTATGTTACCTTCATAGCAAATCATTTCTCTCCTACTCCAAATTTCTTATTCTTCTAACTTCGTAAGATTCTAATAAATAAAAAGTTGTGTAAGAGCTTCACTGGTATCAAAGTGAACATGAAGTCTTTTAAAAGAAATCTTGTAGCTACAATAGTGTTAAATCCTTACTTTTGTCTTACAGTTTTTAGTCTTTGTATTAAGAAATGCTTCTCTCACAGACGATACATTTTTCTTTCTCACTCTATGCATTCCAAGGCTCCTACTATTGGTCATTATCATTATCATTACTATTGGTTGTATGAACTTGTGGTTGGTGGTAATATAGCCATTTTTATTATATTTTTATTTTTACTGAGAAAGAACCATATAATGTTTGGTTCATACCTCCGAGTGTAGTCCAAGATCACTGTCAGTATTACTTAGTTCACAGAATAATTCTGACCTGTCATATTGACATACAATTTATTGGAAATAGGTGAATAAAAATTGCTGCCAAACAGAAAGGTGTCTCAAAAAGATACTCTTTGAGTCAAGTCCAGTCCTTTTTCTTAGGATATTCCTTTAGATAACTGCAAAGATGTTTGAGAACAACACTTACAAACCATTTTCTAATACAAATTCTCAGAATCTGTGACCACTGTATGTCCTTTATTCTTTGTGTTTAATTTATGATCGCTTTTTCTCCTTCCCCACCTATCTTCTCCTCTGCTTATTCTTGATAAATTTCTAGTGACGAGTTTAAGCTCCTTTTGGTTTCAGGGTGCTTTTTTGCTAGATATTTGCTCTAAGTCTTTCAGCCTGCTCTCTGGACTATGGTCTTGTCTTTTGCATTCACTTAGTCTAAGTTATTTTTCCTGAATATAAGAGACAAGAGTTCTCTATGACATTCGTAATAACATCCCTCCAATTGCCTTTCATAATGTGATCTTCATCCTTTTCATCTAATGCACCATAGGACTGATGGCATTAGCATTCTATTTACTTTTTCTGTAAGGAAGCACATTAGATAAGGCTAGTTCAGGACCATGTCTTTGAGTAGTAGGAGTTGTAATCTTCTTCTAGCCTTTTAAATAGTTCATTTTGCTATGCTATCAAAAGCAATGTTCACAAACTCTGCGCTTTACTGGCTTTGTCTTTTGTCTTACTGAATATCAAGTCTGATACAGAAATTTTTGTTTCTGCAGGAAAAGGCAGTGACAAGACCATTCCGTTATACTCACCCAAGGATGAAGAGTTTGAAAAGGCCAGTTCTCTGCAACCTAAGGCAGGAACTTGGATAACAACAACTCCATTAGGCATTCAAGTGGGCACAGAGGGTGCAACAAGAATGGATCTGAAGCCACTCTTAATATATCAGGCCACGAACCCATCTGATGGAACGGTATTACTGCTTTTGTGTTACTATAGCACTGTCTATAAGCTAAGAGACAGGGCTGCCATCACAGAAGTTGTAGGATTTGTTCTTTGAAAACATCCTACAAGTGGTGTTATTGCACTGTTAGAAATGAAGTAGCTTTAGATTTTGAAGCAAATATGATTCCTCTGTCTATGAAGTAGATGAAAATGTGGTGGTCAAGCTTCCCAAGAGCTTCAGTCCTGATGCCTTATATTGTTGTTGCTGCTGTCACATGTATCACAGTGCCAACATAAAAGAGCAGTCCTTCATTCTTTCAGATTATGACTGTACGAGAAGATGAAGTGATAATTGTTGAGAAGCCGGGTGGTAACAGAGTAGTAGAGCATGCTGATGGTACCAGGATCACAACTTTTTATGAAAAATGTGAAGACCTTTCTGTACCAGAGGGTAGTCTGGAAACAGGTAACATCAGAAGGGGACCACTTACTTTTCTTGCACTTGACTTATCTTGTGAAGCAGAAAGTTGTCAAATTATATACTAAAGGCGGCTTATACCAGTAGCCTAGATAACAGATCCACTAGGGTAGTCTAGGCTTAGTTTGTTTGCTTTCTTTCAGCAGTATATTCAATGTAAAAGATAGACTGTTGCAAGTAATTAAATTTCCTTCTTTCATACCTGTATGGTCCTCCTTCACCATGAGACACAATGCCAGAGTTTTAGTGGGCTCATTGCCCTCTCTCTACCTGCCCTCATAATAACAAGGAAGCTGCTTTGAGTTTTAACTGAAGAGGTATGTAAGGACCAAGGCATCCTTATATTCCCCAGTGAATCCATGAATTCACCAGCCTTGAAGATACTGAATATCTGAATGTGGCTGTGGAAAATGTCCTGCCAAGAAAAGTGAAGCTTATATTTGCCTGAAATAAGTGGGGCTAGAGGTCATTCTTCTGGCTGGTGTTGTATTCTATATGACTGCTTCATTTGCCAGACAAGTCCTGTCCTCCTTAATAAAAATAAAGGGGACATTTACTCTATGTGTGTCTGGACTGTTCAAACACATTGTAGGAAAAGACCATTATTGAGTTAGCAAAAAATGTTCAGGAACATCTCCTTGTGGGATTTTAAAAGTCAAGAGATCCTTGAACTGATCTGTCTCTTCAATGGAAAGGCAATAACCAGATTAACATACCTGTTTCATTTGTTTTCCAGTATTTGTGTTGCTGAATAGGAATTTCTTCACATATTTGAGCTTGTATTATAGGCACAAAGAATTTCAGTGGTCCAACTTGTATATTACAAATGTCAAGATCATTATGGTTAGTACCGTACTTGATACATTAGAGTGTACTTTCCTGGGCAGCTACAGATGGTTACAGATAGTTTTTGCTGTTATGTTTTCCCATGTTTTGAATTCACAGTCCAGAACTTCAAAGGTTGTGTATTGTTTATATAACATTAAAATATGTGATAAAGGATGCTATGATGGTTATGAAGGTCTTGTACTGAGGAGATAAAGAATCTAGCACTATGAAAGAAAAAGCAAATTGAATCCTAAGACATTTCCATGATTCATGTGCTCCTGTCTCATTGTTCTGTATTAATTATTAGATGAACCCTCAGAAGCCACCACAAAGAAACTGAAAGGTACACGAGTAGAGAATCCTGAGTTTGCTACTGTTATAACAAATTGTGAGGATGGTACCTGTTGTACTATCTTTGGAGATGGGACATCTATTCTAGCAAAGCCACAAGGAACATATCAGGTGGGAATTATTTTTAGTTTGTGACAGTGATGTTTAATCTTTGTGTTCCAAGTCCCCTGCCATTAGCAGCTCTCACGTTGATTACTTCCCTTCTCTATAGTCTTCACTAATCCTATTATTCCATCTCTTTCATACTCTGCCAATATTCAGATACTTACTCACAAATGTACAGTATATTTAAATCAGTCTTAAATTTCCTGAAGTTAAATATTACAGAGACTCAGATCAGCTTACCTCTTGGACCTCATCTTCCTTCTTTCTCTCCCTTTGATTCCTCTAAACTGGATGATTCAGTATTGAATGTCTGAAAGCTGTCCTTTTAATTTGTATCTGTTCTTCATTTTTATGGTACCTTTAAATTAAAGTTTTCACCTTTGGGGATTGAGTCTCTTCCCTTTTTGCTGTCATAGGTTTTACCCAGCAAGGGAGGCTTCCTTTTCTTTGATGAAGATTGCTCAGCAGTTTATAGCCATGAAGTTTATGATCTCATTAGCAAGGAAGAAGAGAAACAAGCAGGGAGATATATTATGAAACACACTTCCAGCACTATTTGTGAGATGATGGATCCTAAAGGAAATACTTTCAAGGTAAAATACATGGAAGAAAACAAGTTTCTGCATTCTAATTTTATCTTATAAACTTCCTCAAAATCAAATTGTAACCTTGTAATATTTAAAGTAGCCAGAATCAGGTCTCTGATATCTTCTTGACTAAATGATGGATATCCTTTTTTTTATATATTTATCCCTGTTTAGAGAGACTGAAACAGAACACGTGATGTACAGTTTAGCTCACCTGTAAAGTTCCCTTGATTAGCATGATTTGTACTGTAGGAAAAAATCAGCTCTGCAAGTGAGGATTAAAAACTGTGTGTGTCAGATGCAGTTCATGGACTGTCCTCAATCACCTTTATTTAAATTGTGTCTTGAAAAGTATTATTCCTTTTTAGGTCATTGTTAGTTATCTTGTTTGAATATGTTCAACAATATGTTCAACAGTCCTTGGGCATTTATTAAATATTGGTATTTGATATTGGTATTTATGATACAACATATCTTTCTAGAAATGTTTTGGGGGTTTTACTGACTTTTCAGTTTTCGTCTTTATTTCTTTTTCCTGTGAGTTTCCAGTTGCTCAGCATGAAATGTTCTTTTCTGTCTCTTTCAATGGGCTAGGTCATGTTAATGTTCACCAGCAAATCACTGTTATAAAAGGATCTTTTAATTCAAGTAATTTCACATAATTTGTGCTGTAGGTCCTGGCTGATGGCAGCACAGATGTGTGCATTCCCAGCATTGGCTCTGATGACAAGGAGGGCACAAGTTCAGCAGTAGATGAGGTTAACAAACCTACCACTTACGATGAGCATGCCCCCAGGTAAGCTGCATTGCATTCATAAGTTGATGCTTTCTTTTCTTCACTACACAGTATTTGTACAGGGTTCATAAATTTGTGCTCCCTTTGTTCAGTACTCTGTTTGCACATTTGATGCCATCACGTTGGATTCTGCTTTATTGACACAGCCCCGTGTGTGTTTCGCTGTGCAGGTTTTTCGTAATCTCTGCAGATGGTTCTGGAACGGAACTCCTGCGAAAAAAGGACGTCCACAAGTATGTGGCTGAGGCCTGCAGTGATCCTGCCACTGTAGTCTTGCAGGATCCTGTACAAGAACAACCAGGTAGAAAACTTTTCTTTTCTGACAGACATTCTTTCTAGACTAATAGAAAAATTGCAAAGTTTCAAAACTCTTATTTGGGCAGGAAATGTTTTTACCCTTGTAAATAAGGGCCCACACTATTAGAAGTGAAAGAAAGGAGTTTGGGGGAAAACTCTGGGAAGCAGAGAATTAACTGAGGGACACTGTTAAGGGATTTGTGAACAAACAAAAAATGACATATCTTTATCCACTCTTAGTCACACAAATAAAAGTGATTACCAAATAAATGTATTCTTCGTGTTTATCATAAAAAAATTAATGTATCACAGTCTCCATTAATGATACAGCAATGAGGACAGTGATGCCCTGATGTTGACCCTTAGCCTGTCTTTTTGAAAGGATACACATTAAAAAGCTGAAAAAACACATCTGGAATTGCCAATACTACATGGTACCAACCACCTTGTAATAGCAACTCAAGGAGTTATGTCCTGGAATTGTTGGTTGTCGTTGTATAGTTGGAGATGCTGTGTTTCTATAAAAGACACTGTGGTGCAACAGGTAGATGCTAACAAAAAATATCTTTAAAAGTGAGGGAAGTATGGTTCCCTTGGATATGAGGAGATGATAAGGGAAGTTTGCTTCAAGCCATACAGTACTAAGACGTATTTCTCATAGAGTTATGTCAAAAAACATATGACACAAAACAGCTTTCCCACTTATTACCCTTACAAGGTGTTGCACATCTTTAAATTTACTGGTATTCACAAAAATGACTGGTTCTCCATTGTAGAAACCAAATAAAATAATTTTGCCATGGAAAAAAAGAAGAAATGAAGGGACATGGAGGGAGTCAGAAAAATGCAAAAGGTGAAATGATTGGAAAGATGGAGAACATCAAAATTCCAGTCAAGAAAATTTGCTTACAACCAGCAATCATTTGTAATAGTAGCACATCTGATTTTCCAGACTCCCTTCTCCACCTTTCACAATACTGGCTCTATTTGCCTTGACAATGAGGCTTCACAGTTTTGTATCATTGTGACAAAGTACCTCAGTGGTGATATCCATTTCGAAGGTGGGGTAGATCATAGTAGAGTAAGTAATTTTTGGGTTGGGCTGGAAAAAATATTTTGAAAAGCATTAAAGTTTATGCAAACAATACAAATAAATCATCTCTAATGGAATCCATCTGGTGATCAGGTTATGAAGCATAAAATATAGTGAAGAATTATACATATTCTGAATATGTTGTACTACTTCTGAGATTAGTATTCAGTACACATGGGTCAGTGCTCTGCTCTTCCTTGTTTGAGCTACTCCCCACACTATACAACTGAGCTGTTAATCAAGAATCAAAGCAAGTAGCATAAGCAGTCTATTGTTAAAAAATGGACTGAGTAATGTGAACTTATACAGCTATTCTATAACCAACTCAGTGATCTGCTATTATCTATAGCCATGGGTACATGGAGTTTTATCTGTTAGTAATATGATTTTTTGTAGATAGATAAATGTTTTTTTTTCTGTAGGTCTAAGACATTTGTCCATTAATTTTTTTAATTTGAACTGATTCTTAGCAAAATGTGTCTTTAAACCAGATATTTTAAGTATTACTATCCTCCACCCTATGGCTGAAGCATCCCCCTGGCTAATGAAGAAAGAACCAGAGAGTATTGTTCCTCCATATCTTCAATCAGAGACTCAGGCAGAATCTTCTCCTCCTGAGGTATAATTGTTTCAAAACAGTCTTTTCATGTTAAAGCAATAGACGTTTGTCTCTGTGGGGAAGTGAAACTCTAAACAATGTGAATGTTAAATTCAGTTTATTAAGCAGACAGGACAAAGCTGTGTCACAGAACGTATGGTCCCATTCTTTTACACTTAGTGAGGGGATATAGCAGTTTTAAGGGGAGTTCATCTTACAAGATTTTTTAGGATAGATAAATTGTTCCCAGGAATCTATTGGCGTTATTGTCTAGGTCTGTTATTCTCTAAGGAGAGCATATGCTTTTCATCTGAGACACATTGCCAATAGCTGCATTTTTCGTTAATGTAAGTAGCCTCTTGCTGTTTTTATTTGCTTTTCTCTGTTCAGGGGGATATCACAGGTGCCCCAGCTGAAAAGTGTGTTTGGAAGGGTCTCAGCATTGGATCAGCACATTTGTCCATGCCAGTCCCTGCGCGAAAATGTCCCAAAAAACTGCAAATCCGCCAGCTATTTCAGTATAAGCCACTCTGTGATGAACTAAGAGAAAAACTGCAGCTTTCCCTCAAGGTAGTTCAACCACATTTATTCAACCTTCCAGTAAACAATAGAGAACAGACAAGTAGACAGATTTGGTTTGATAAATGTGTAGTATATACCTGAGAAAAAGAAATCTACTATGTTTGAAGAACAATTATTTCGCACAGACAGGTGCTATAAGTGTGTTTCTGAAAAAGTTGAATTGTTTCACTTACCTCTTATGAAACCTAGTTTTCTGAGCAAATACATGAGATCCAGTCCAGTAAACATCACAGACAGTACTCTAATACACAATTTCCTTGCTGTTAAAATTGGTATCTGTTACTTCACTTTTATTTTGCTTAAGGTTTGTTTTCCTTTAAAAAGTCTTAAGAATTTAAATCTGTAGAGCTGAACAAGAATTTCTAGGTCACCATAAATCTACAGTTTACTTGGTCACTGAGACACACTCTGGTCTTGGTTATGTATTTGTTTTCGTAAATCAATGTAGAATATTTACACGTTCCAGTCTGAGTTTTGTTACTCTATCCATGTCTAGGAAATAGCTGTGTAGCCTTCTGACAAAGGTTGTGGCCATCCCTTATTAGTGACTGGTTCATAGCAGGGAGCAAGCTAGACCTTCTGTGCCAGTGTTCTGAGATGGAGCCCGAAAGTGAACAGTTTTGCCCTTCTCAGTGTTGGTGTAAAACATTCATTTATTTAATTCACATTGTGAAGTTGCTCTTAGAAGATATTTTAGAGTCAAAACTCCATTATTACTTAAGAATTAGAGAATAACAAAATATATGTGTCCTCTAATTTATTCGTTTTACCTATTTTGATAATGGCATTGCAGACTGAATTCAAAAGTTAAACAGCATGTGAAATTTGTGAAGGTCGTAGCATATTGTAGCCAGTTAAATTTATTTTCCCCCACATTACATTTCAAAGAAAACATACTTGCAATGCAAAACACTGGCTACTGTCCAGCTCAGACATGTTTGGGATATGCAAGACTATCAGTATGAAATGTTACCAGTTTTTCAGTCTATAAATATTCTTTCATTTGCATACTGATCTTTCAAAGACAACGTTATAAAAGTTCCACACCAAAATGGTAAGGGAAGTCTCTCCCTCGCCCATATCTATTGTTGATTTTCAGAGAAAGATGAATGCTCTTTGTTACATTGTGAAGGAAGAGCTGCAATTATTAGCACTGAAAAAACAATTGTAATAATTGCATAAATGTGCAATGAAAATACCCTCATTGCTCATAAACCAATACTTAGTTAATTAATTTTTTTCCAAAATGAAGTATCTTCATCTTTAGCCACACCTTCACTTTGTCAGAGCAAAATCAAGATCTAAAGAAAATATTATTCTTCCTTTCTCCATCTTCTATAAGATTAAAGATATATAAACAAGTGAAAAAGAACTAGCACTGGAAGCAGATTGTTTCTGCAAACCCATCTATTAGTAAATTCTGTACTGCATGTAGCTTTCTGACAGTGGTGTGTTTAACACCCTTTTTTCCATCCAACAGATTTAAAGAAATGTAGGAAAACTGTTCTTTTCTGTAGCAGCTGGTATGATTATGTCAGTGTGAATAACTATTTTAAGCCTACATCTGCATCTTTCTTGTTCTTTTTCGTTGTTCCACCAGGAATATATAGACAACATCTTAAAGCGGGAAAATGAGCTGGAAGAGATGAATGTGAAAGAACCAAGAACAGAAGAGGAAAAGGAGAATGCTGCAAGTCTCCTTGAACTGATTACAGTGAGAAAAATCAAAATTTTAACTACTTCTTTCAACAAAACCCTTGTATTGCATTGGAAGTGTGAGCCTTGAAACACATTATCCATTAATAAACCAGCAAATGTCAGAGTAGCATAGTGCCAGTTCTGGTGTAGATTAATGGTAAAGCAGAGCCACGCTCAGCCTTCAGCTGGTCTGAATTCAGCTGGGCACTGCTGCCATTTGGGGAAGCAAAGCTCAAAACGGTTCAAGAGTTTGGCTCTACTGAATGATATGTTCCCAAACACACAGACCAAAATTACTTTCCAGTAATTCACTTTTTTTAATATCCCCCAACATCGGGATGAAAATGTTTCCAGTCTGTTGTCATTGCACATGGGAGATTTTATTTCAACCACAGCCACCTCTGTAGTAAGAATTTAAACCCTGCTTTTGGAATAGTACGGAAATAGCCTGGAGAAATACTGTTATTACTGCTGAGCAGCTTTTTTTTTAATATAATCTGCAAATTTTCATGGATAATTAGAGCATAAAAAGAAAAAGGAGACAAATAGGTAATGGGAAAGGTGGGTAAACAGGGGAAGAGGATCACAGCTTTTCTGGAAAGAGGGACAAAGAAACAATCTGTCAGTAACTCCATCTGCATCTATCCTCTAGGTAGACATTTATTTACTTTGATGAGACCCAGGTGCTGAATCTCACATGCTGCTCAGATCCAGTGAACTTGTCTAGTGACTAATTATTGTTGATTATCCTGGCTACATTCAGCACATTTCCAGTTACAGATTTCAAGCTGGGCAACTCTTTTGTGAGCAGCAGTCTCAGTGTGCACCTGCTGTGGCCCTGGAATCAGCGTCACATTGCTCCCAAGTCTCCAATAGCTCGCTTACAACCGAGACTGCCTGGTCACAGGAACTCTGTTTTCCAGTTAACTGGTTCAGAGATGGGATGAGAATAAAGGAAACACTTTCATTTAGAGCCTCTTAACCCTCATCCACTTTACTGTAAGCCATATGAGATCTCCTCAGTAACAGAGCCTGCAAATTCCTGAATACATTTCCCATTTGACTTGTTGGAATATAAGCTTAATACAATATATCTTGTTCAGGTTTTTTGGAGAATGATTTGGGTTTGATTGGGAATTAGCTCGGTTGAGCTAATAAAAATAACCATATAAAATACAAAACATATATATACACATATATGTATATATAAATATATAAAATATAAAAGCTATCTGTGAAGTGGGTCATCAAGAAGGAAACAAATACCTATTTAGAACAGGGAAATTGTACTTCATTTCCTTTTTTCCCAGCTTATGTTTTCTAACACACTGAAATACCTGGCAATGTGACTAGAAGGATGGGGGTAACAAGATAGCACTTGTTTACAATATAAATCCTTTGAACAAGATGCGGTTGTTGCGAATTTTATTTCTCATATGGTCATAGCTATTCCTTCTTCATTGCAGTCCTTCCCTGATTGGGAAAAGTCAACTGAAAAGCTCAGTGATAGAGGTAATAAAAAATGAAAACCTATATTTTTAAAATTTAAAATATCATAATAAGTTTTAAAGTATTGTAATATTTTTAAAGAGGAAATATAAAGGTGAATTCATCTATGTGCTATGTACATCTTCTGTGTGACTCTCACAGGTGATTAGAACTTGTTAGCATAAATGATCCAGTACCTCTGAAAAATAATTCCTGGTTTTAGGCATGTGTATTTGACATTTTGACTCGCATTTCCACATGCAATGAGTTTTCTTACATATAAGAACTATGACAATACTTGGCTACTTTTATGCAAGTGACAACTTTTCAGACAAATTTTTCAAAGCAACTAAGTAAATCCTGGTTATTTATTACACCTCAAAATCTAATCTCACACCATCACATGTTGGGGTTACATTCACCTACCTGAGGGAAAAGATGGAGCAATGTATAATGAATTTCTATTAAAGTTTTCACAAGATATTTATTAACATTGATTAATGTTTTCAATATGTACAAATTAAAATTAAGATGTCTGTTTCTTTATAAAAACCCATACGCCTTCTCCGTAGAAAAATTCATTACATTCTATCCCATAGTGATGCTCATCTTTAAAGTGTTATTTTACTGCCCTTCATATCCTGTCGAGTATTTCTACATGTCAAAAACCCTCATATTGTGCAAAGTAAACCGAAACTCCTGCAACAAATGCTTGCTGAACAGTTTCCTTTTAAATGAAGCCATAAATTTAATGGAATATTGCTGATGAAGAAGATAGTGGGAAAGAAAAGCTCTTTGAAATAGGTTAAAATAGAAAAAGCTGAAAATAAAATAATATTTTGTGTCAAGAAAGCTGACCAAAAAAAAACCCAAAAGAACAACCCCACATTTTGAAGATTGAATGTATGTAATTCCCAGAATATTAAGATATATTGTCATAGTCTAGTAGGATCATATCTCTCAAATACTCACATCTCCTAAATTTTGCCACAGAAAATTGTCTTCAGCCAAGGAAATTTCCTTGGACCCATGATTTAGCTTCAAGGTATAAAGTAAACAATATGCATTATAAAATATGTCAGAGGACATGATAAGTCTTTAATAAAGCTTCAGAGCTGGTCACAGTATTAAATGTGGAAAGACTGGCATTTCTCCATTATACATATTGAACTAGTAGTTCCTTCCATGAGAATGTTGATTATGGCTGCTTCACAGCCTCAGTTAAACACAAGCAAGCTTAAGCAAGTTGAATGTAATAAGGGTCCCTGGAAGCCCACGTTATTTTCTTCAGCTGTAGATTGAGACCTCAGAGCACCCCAGTTAGAAAGTGGCTGAATGTCAGCAACTCTTCCTACTTCAAAGGTATTTGTATCTTGAAAGAACATAAAGATGTGTCAGGAAATACAGGGTGGGAGTGTGCACTTGATCTTTTTCTTGTCCTTTCAATACTGAATTCCATTTCTTGTCTGTTAGTGTTCTGATCTTGATTTTGGAATGAAGTTCTCTCTGCCTTTTCCCTCACAGTAACATATCTCTGTTAGGTTTCCATAAAGTGGCAGAAAGATGCATTAAAAATATATCCTTTGATGTTTTTTCTTCATAACACCTAGCACTGCTTAGCAGAGCATGCCCATTCAGTAATGCCCTTCACCTTGCAGCCCATGTGAGTGAGCTGTATGAACAGGCACTGGCTCCTCCTACCCAGGGTCCCGTAGAGAAGACAAGCACTGCACAAAGAGAGGACCAGCAGCAGAGGTAGGAGAGAGCAGCGAGGACTGGTGCAAATGTAAATAACACAAAAGGTGAATCCAAGCACATGGGGAAGGCACTGTGCTTTACTGACTGTCATTAAGGACTGGGACCTAGATCCCTAGATATATATGGGCAGTGTTTTACCATCATGTCCTGTGATTATTTTGTCCCTCTATGCCTCTCTTTCCTTATCTGAAAGACAATTCAAAGCTTGTTGGGAAAGGATTTTGGATGTTTCTTGGATTGAATGATCTAATAAAAATGCAGATATGACCAAACAATTTTGTGCAAACCATACAAGTTCGAGTCAGGAGTCACCTGAGGTGTTTACGTAACACACTCTCATAAAAAGCATTTTCTTTCCAGGGTTATCTTGTAAATATTTTTGTATTTATTGAAGACTCCTAGTTTTCCCATTCCCACTAATTCTCTCTTTTTTTCTTCTGGGTGATTCAGTCCAGAAGGAGTAACGTCCAAGTGGCAAAGTAAACTAGAACAGAACAGGTAATAATATTAGTAGGATCAAGTTATTTTATGAACCAGCGTAATCTACTTTTGTAAACAATGTTATTGATTTCACCAGGTCTTGGGTGATGGTCCAATGGCTTGCCTGCAAATAATGGGTATTTTCTGCTCAACAAAAATGCTGAATAAATGGTTTGAGGCTCTTTCTGATTTTTTTCCCCAAAACCTAACAGTATTACTGTTAACTTACACTATGCAAAATACGGCTGAAGTCAGAAGTGCTCTGTTTCATTTCTGGTTCTGCCACCAGTGTGGAAAATACTGTATATTAATATTTTCAAATGCTGATGCTTTAGGTTAAGATTCAGGTATTCCACAAATAAAAGCTGTTTTTTTCAAATAGAACCCCAGACACATGTCACATGGTGGTGCTTCAAAGCTTCTCTAGGCAAAACTGTCTCAACCTGTCCTCACATGAAAGGTCTTCCAAACCCTTAATCATCTTTGTGGCCCTTTTGTGCATCAGACAGCTCAAAAGTGGACACAGCACTCCATGTGAGGCTTTCCATATTGTTTCTTAATTACATTCTGACTTGCATGAGATAAAAAAGCCTTTTAGAGTTTGCCAGTTATATTTTATCATAGCATTTCACACTGTTTTGGATCCTATTTTATAAAATACTTCAAATATATAAATCTGAGCAGCTGATGGGACGGATAGGGGTTTGACAGGAAGATCTCACAGATGTGTATGTTTAGCAGAAAGATCTTTGAATGTAACATCTGAAGAAGGAATAGAAATGAAGAAAGGAATTGCTGAGCCAGTCTTACTGATAACTAAGAAGGCAAAGGGTATGTTAGTATGTGAGTTGGAAGGGGTTTTTATAGCTCAGAGCAAAGGATAAATCCACCTCAAACAGAAGATGTTTTTACCAAGCAAAAAGATTTCACAGGCAAACAAGAATGACAATGTTGCAAGTAGAAAAAAGGTCTCAGAATTTTCCACTGCAAGAAAACTGAAAAACAACTTCTAGCTTAAACTGTAACATACTAACTTTTTGTGATTGGAAAATAGTTACATGAATATGGTAATGTTAGTAATTGTGATAGGCTGTAGGTAATAGTAAAGATATTGATTGGTTGTTATGTATTAGGATGCTCAGCAGAGAAAAGTGTATAATGCATTGTAACCAGAACTAGGGTTGGCTTCAGACAAGCCTACAGCTGTGGCTGAAAGGTATAGGCTAGGCTCTTGTCACCCACGGCCCGTGAATTGCTGTATCATTTGGATACAAGAAGCAGCATTTTAAAGAGCCATCTGGAGTCCTGCATCCGTTTTGGCTCTTAGAAGCAGCCAGCACCCAAGAACATCATGTGCAATTCTGGCTCTAAAAGCAGTGTTAAAACTCTCAGCATGATTAAGAGTGATCATTTCATAGCTGATATTAGACCCTGCAAGTCAGTGAAACACTAGTAGTGTAAAACTGGGCTAAATCAAACTGAAAATATGACTGATCTTTACTCTGGCCAACCTTACCTTCAGAAGTTTGAGCAGCTTCTTCTGTATCCACAGAGCCTTCAAGTATTTCTGTGATAAAATAAGGAAATTAGATGAGTTTTATGTTCAAAATTTTAGCAATGCATCTGGAATACCAATTCTTAGCTTGAAGTGTTTGTTGGAAGGTTGGAAAGACACCAGTGGCAGTCCCAGACATGTTTCATGAAGGTTTAGAGAAATGGAGTATGTTCTGAGGAGGAACTCTTCACAGCAGGCAACTCATTGTCTATGTGCATTCTTATTGGACCAGTCCATTCTTAATCCACCTCTAAGAAAATTGCCAATTACAAGAATATTACTTTATGTGATGAACCAGGGAAAAAAATGCCACTTGCTTTCACCAAATCAATTTCTTGATGCATAATACTGAAAAACAGCATGAACTCAGTTATAATGTTTTTTTCCTTTCTTTTCATTACCAACAATGTGAAAAACATCTCTAGGAAAGCACTGGATGAACAGAAGACTACATTTATGGCAATAAAGAACAGAATATTTGCTCCATATTTTGAATCCGAATTCAGCAAGGGCTTTTTCCAAGAAAAGGTAATGCAGCTGAAAACTGGATGAGTTTTTTAGGCCAGCTAGTATCTCCCATACTCCCAAAGACAATTTTGGGTTCATATCTCAACCTTTATCTCAACAAACCATTATAAAGGACAGCTGTGGCAGAATTAATACTGGGAATTATATGCCCTTGTAAAGAAAATCCTGTCTCGAAGATGGTATATATTCACTGAGTACAAACTCGATAAAATTCCTTATGTAAACTCTGGAGAGAACCTGATTCAGAGCAAACCTCAACCTCAGGGTTTTTTACTTACCCCTCAAACCCCTCTCCTTGCTGATTAGAAAGGGAATAAGTAAAACAAACATTCCTAATTTAGAGGTGATCTTGGGGGCTTTCCTACTGTAATCTCACCTGGTAAATGCTGTAAATGCATAAAGCCTACTCAGAAATATAGATTGTAATCGGATGTAACTGTTTATATCTCTTTTCTAGTCACAACTTTGGTTCTGCTTGTTTCCTTTGCATTCTTTTTTTTAAATTTTTTTTCCTTTCTTTTTTTGCAAAGAGAGGAGGGTGTCTGCTGACTGATTTTCCAAGGTCTTTAGTTGGGAAACCTTAGCCCTCTTTCTTCCTTTTCTCTAGTTTCCTGATTTGGAAGCAATGTCTAAGGAACTTCCTCCACTTCAAAAAGAAGAAAGTGTGACTTCCCCTCTGTGGATGTTAAGAGAACCCAGTAGAGGTAATCTCCTGTCTGGCATCAGGTTTGGACTTCTTCAGGAGGAAGAAGCCCTTGCAGACATCACTGAATGTGGAAGAACCATTAGCTTTGGATGCTAAACTGAAAAATTGGGCTGTAATGAGGAGTGGATAGATGAAAAATCTCAAGAAAAACTTGAATGGAATAAATAACAGTTAGGGGTGGATGAGCAAGAACCAAGGAGGCCAAGTTTAGAAAGTAACTTGTATGACTATAGGAAAAATATGGGAGATTGATTTCTGAAACTCAGTGGTAAGAGGGAACTGGTGCAAAAGCAATATGGAATAGGAAACATGCAGGCTAAGGATAGACTGCAGGATATAGGAGGAAAGCAGTGACTCCATGACGGGAAGCAGTGAAAGAGGGAATCATAATCTTAGGCTTGAGCTTTTCAGAACTGAAAGGAATACTTCAGTTCTGTTTAAAAAGCAGCCCTGACAAGTTACTGAAATCATATAGTGAGATTAAAAGTCATACACAGCAAAGATTCATATCAGGAAAATAGTCCTCTGTGGGGCTTTATCAGACCCTCACTAATTCCCATATATTCTCATTTTCAATCACCATAAGACCTGTGCTGGATTGTCTTGTAGTCCTTTATGGCTTATAGTTCAGTTAGCCAGAGAACAGGAAATTACTAATCATAGAACAGGCATTTCTGAGATCCCTGTGGCCCAGTAGAGCAAAATGCCACATGCAGAATTTTCCCAGCCTCCCATGGTTATGTAGACAGCTTTCCAATTGTCTAAATTAAAGTGCCAAAGACTGTGATTTTGTTTCACATGTTTATGAAAACAATGGTGATAATAAAAAATACTTAACTCAGTATTCCATTATTTTCCCTTTAGCGGCTGAATTTGATACTACAAGTGATTCATCACTTTCATCTGGCCTTCCACTGCAGGATCCTTCCAAACAAGATGATGGTTCCAGCAGCACAACAGGTACACCTGCCTTCCAGAATGTAGTTGGAGCAGCTTGGTATCTTTTAATAACTTTTGACACAATATTTGCAGTACAAATTTAAATCCACCTGTCACTTATTCATGCTTTTGGAAATTTTTCCCTTCCAGACCTAAACATGGCAGCAAGAGCAGAAGAGACACCCTTTCAACATATAGTTCCAAGTCTGATGGTGGATGTTACAGGACAGACAAGAAAAGAGAAAGTAATATTACCATCATACCTTCAGAGCAAAAAACCAAACACCATACCAAATAAAAAGGTAAAAATAATACCTTTCTTGTCAATGTTCATATCCTCTGAGTCATCTCTTTTCCATAAAATCTTCACCCTGGAGCAATACTGGAAGGTGTTTTGAATCTGTTTACTGTAACATGGCTGTTGGACTTTATTTATGTTTACTGGCAATTCTAGAAGACCCTTCCTCTCAACTGCTAGGAAAAACTCATTCTGCATCAGGCACCTACATGAAAGCTCCGTTTCCAAAGAGCAGAGCTTTTCCCATTTCCCTGAGACACCTCAGTGGCTTAATACATCTGAAAACTCAAACCAGTATAAATTTTCAGACAGTATTCAAAGTGCTGCTTCAGTTTTTACTAAAATTAGGATGTCTTTTTTGTTAATTTGTCAGGGTGAGTGGACAGAAGTGAAATGTATTTTAATTAATTTTCTACCTTACTTAATGGCCACCAACTTTATCTTTGTCTCATATTTTGCCTGCAAAGATAGAAGATCCTGCCTCAGGAAAGCTCAGCACATCTTCTCTTGCAACAAGACAGGATCTTACTGGCTTCCATCTCATCCCACCCAGGGTGACATTTGGAGTGCTAAAGGAAGGCTGCACCTATGCAACCACTGTAATCATGAAGAATGTTGGTATGAACTTCTCAAGGTTAGTTTGAATTCTTAGTACCCTGGTTTTTATCTCTCCAAATAGATCCTGACAAAAATCAAGTACAGTTCCTTTGGAACCACCACTCCAGAGAAAGTGCAGGAATTCTGACAGCCAGTTTATAGGCCTGCCAGGGCTTTCCTTAAGATGAAGCCATATGCTAGGAATGCCTGTTCTACTGCCTTGCCTTAACAGCTTCTGGTGCAAGGCCATACTGGTAAACTGTTCTTCAGGGAGAATGAAACCCACAGGATCAGTTCCAGAGTAATGCAAAAGTGAAGGTCGTATCTGATCTAATGATTTTTAAAAATCTAAACAGTAGGAAGTTGAATTCACAAAAGGACTGAATCTCAGATGTGAAACAATCAGTAAGAAACGAGGAAGCAAAAATTCTGCTTTAGTTGGTACCATTTAATTAGAGATTATTTGCACAAAATTCATACCAGTATCATGCCTTCTGTAATTGAATCACATCAAAGGACATTAAATAAAGATTGTTATGGACTTTTGGGTTTGTAACACACAGGTGTTTGCAGAGAAACTGTACTTCAGCTTCCTTTGAATGTGCAGGTTTCAAATGCTGCTGTTTCACATTCTGTTGTGTTAACAAGTTCTTTAAAGGCTTACTTTGGCCAATTCACCTGCTCCTTTGGGGTTTTTTTGTTAGAAACCTGAGCCTTGGTGAGAAGCCCAGGAATACTGCTGTAGTCCAACTCGTACATTATGATGGAAAGGATGAACTAAGAAATTCTGCTGTCATTTAAAAAGGCAGAGGAAGAGCAGGAAGAGCCTGTTTCCTAGATGTGATTTCTCCTGCCTGAAACAGTCTCTGGCAAACTGATTCTCTTCTCTTTCTGACAGGTTTCGGGTGAAGCAGCCACCTCCACACACAGGACTGAGAGTGATGTACACACCAGGACCTGTAGGTTACAGAGGAGAGCTTTTGGGGTATTTTCTAGACTCAGCTGGCCCTCAGGCTAGCTAGGGCATCTTTCTGGGACAGCAGCTGTCTGGGAATAGAGCTGCCAGGGTATACAGTTTTGTTTAAAGTTATTTGAAGTGATGCTGTCTTCCACCATCCCTCTGCCACCTTCAGCTAAGCATCTCATGCACTCGAGTCTCAGCCTGTGCCAGAATGCAGAGGGATAAAAATGTAAAGTTCAGTGGAAAGCAGCAGGTCAAGCAGTGAGGTTATAGAGCTTTTTCAACACAAACAGGATTACTCTACCACTGCTACCACTGCCTCTGAATTTTCCCTTCTGCTTACGGTGTTTGTTATATCTGCCCTGTCTTATGCCTAGGCTTAACCTCCTGTCCTAATACCTTCAGGATTTGAACCCAGTAAACTATTGCCTCAATCCTTTCTTCTCCTGCTTCCAACTGTTTTCCACATAAAGTTTTTTATCTAGCAGAGCACCATAGCACATTAAATTATCACATTAAGTAGGAAGCTTTCATGCTTTCTGCCTTTGTTCAGTCTCTCTTTTCACCTGCATGTTATCTCTGAATAAACAGTGCTGGTCCAGAGCCTTAACCACAGCTCAGTACTTAAAATCATAGAATAGTGTGGGTTGGAAGGAATCTTTAAAGGCTCCAGTTGAGAGAGAAGGATGGTGTGGGGGACTGTGTCAAAGGCCTTACAGAAATCCATCTAGATGGTTGGAAAAATTTCCATTATCTTGTTTTTGCCTCACATCTTCCCCTTTTGTACCTCCCCCTACCTTTATGTTCTTTTTAAAACAGAATATTTTATTTTATTTCATTTGGAAGAGACCTGGAATGGCCCTCTAGTCCAACTGCTTGACCACTTCAGGGCTAGCCAGAATTTAAAGCATAGTATTAAGGACACTGTCCAAATGCCTCTAACCCTAACAGGCTTGGGGCATCAACTACAAGCTCCAAGGACTGCTGGAGGGGACCATATATGAAATTTGCACCTTACCTGTGAGTCATTCTCTGTCTCTCCTAGGTGGCAGCAGGCTTGCAGGTTGAACTGGAGATAGAGATTTTTGCCATGCTAATTGGAGGGAAAGACACTGGTGGCCTTGAAGAAATTTCCCATGATATTGAAATATTAACAGAAACTGAAACTCTTCTCCTGCCTGTGAAAGCAAATATCCTTTACTGTCTTATTTCTCACATGCATCTCATAGCATCTTCCCTGGGGATCATCTTCCTGTTAGGAGCCTCAAGCATCGTTCCCAGTGCAAGCTGTTGCAATAGCAAGCTTTACTGTCCTTTTCAGAAATACACAAATGGGTGTTTTCAAAAGCACAACAAATGAACAAATTTAAGATTCTGATGCCAAACACATTTTACATCAGAACAACATGGTTTGAAAAGTAGGGAAAGGAAGAACAGCAACTCAGAAAGATGTTGGTTTTAAAAAAATAAATTAAATAGTATGTACTCTTTCCCACCACCCCTCATGAACATACTTTATTACATTTTTGAATCTGTGGTAGCATCTGATGGTACAACCTCATGAACAACAAAATGATGCATTGTCCTGATACTAAACAGGCAAATGGGACAATCCTTGTAGCAGCAAAGATGCAAGCACAGAAGCACATGAACGCTGTCAGAAATGAGCCTGTGTGGCTTCAGTGGGCTTTTCAGTTGTTTAACTGACGACAGCAGTACAGTAAAAGAAAAGAGCCAAGTCAATAGCTATTATTTCTATTTTCCTTGTGCTCCAGGTGAAGTTCCATTTGACATTTAATCAAATTTACACTTAGAAGTCTGTAAGAAGGGGTCCTCTGGAAACCTATAAAAGAAATAACAAGGCAAGCTACATCCAAACATGCCAGAAACTTCATTCACAGTAAGGACCACCCTTACCAAAGAAAGAACTTCAGGATTCTCTGAGCCTGACCAGAGTAATAGCTAACAATTCCTCTGATGCTTTATATGCGGATGTTGAAACTCCCCATATTTACTTTACATTGACCCAAAGAAACCTTTCATGCCTATAATGCAAAGCTGAGCTAGACAGAACAAGCAGCATAGCAGCAAAACCAGCTGTTGTCCTGTTCCCACTCACCCAGTCCTCAGACACAGTTGTAAACCAGCCTCCAAAACATGTGCCCTTCCCGCATTTTTACCTGTTATTTAATCTTTGAGTTGAGAGCACTAGTCCAGATTCAAGATGTTTAACAACCTTTCTTCCAGAATTCATTCCTACCTCCACACGTTATTTTACTTAAAGGTACCAAAATGGTTAGATCCTTAACATGGTATTCCACCTGTGTTATCCAGTGACATTTATGAGTGCCGCCCAGAAGGATACCCCCAGGGAGGGACGGCAGCAGCAGTCCAGGCAGTTCCTACAAGCCCCAAGCCACGGTTACGGATTACACTCCCACGAAAGCCTTGCAGTTAGTGTGAGTACTGGATGCAGTAACACCAGCTGTAAATTGAAGTACAGTTGTTTTACCTACTCTTCACTTCATCAGTAGCATCCTGAACAAAGCTCATGCAAATGATGCAGCTGTCACACTGACTTGGTAACTGTGACAAGAGAACAGAAATACTGGATGAGATCAACCAAAGCACACACTACAAGGGAACTGCAGGTTATTACAACTGCTGAGGTCGGTGGAGGCACTTTCAGCAGAGCCTCCTCAGTCCTGTCCCAAATCCTTCACTTACTGTCTCCACATTAAACAAGTCCTTGAGCCTCTTGGCAGCTGGATTTACTACTGTTAAGCCCTAATAAATCAGCCTCTCTTTAACACTTTTCACATTCTAAAACCAAGTCTTGCTGGTGACCCGTTGACGCTGACAGCAATTCTAATAAGGGACAGGAGTCTTACACATAGAGCAACCTCAATGTGACAAGGTCAAATACACACCACCCTCTGCATACATAGAGCACATTTCTGTAGCCTTACAGAATCAGTCTATATGAAGAATCACAGAATATCCTGAGTTGGAAGGCATTCACAAGGATCACGTCCAGCTCCTGGCCCTTCACAGAATATCCCAAGAATCACACCAGGTGCCTCAGAGTGTTGTTCAAACACTACCTGAACTCTGTCAGGCTTGGTGCTCTGACTACTTCTGTAGGAAGCCTGTTCCAGTGCCCAACCACCCTCTGGGCAAAGAACCTTTTCCTGATATCCCACCTAAGTCTTCCCTGCCATAGCTTCAGGCCATTGCCTTGGGTCCTGTCACTAGTCAGCAGAGAAGAGATCAGTGCCCCTCCTCTTCCCCTCATGAAGATGTTGAAGGCTGCAATGAGGTCTCCCCTCGGTCTCCTCCAGGCTGAACAGACCAAGTAACCTCAGCCACTCCTCACAAGGCTTTCCCTCAAGGCCCTGCATCATCCTTGTAGCCCTACTTTGGATGCTAAGAGTGTCTTCCCTGACAACAAGAAATTTTGGGAATTTCTCACTAACCACCAGCCAACATGTTTAGCATTAGGCTGGGGTTCACCTCACCCCCATGAGCTCAGGCACTCTACAATACAATTGATGGTGACAGTTCATAAACAGGAAACCTATGGATGTCTCTCCTTAGCTCAAAGTTCCTGTTTGCTTCATATGTGTAACACTGGCATCATCTTTTTCTTTCAACTTAAGCATCTGTAAGCCTGCCATGTTATCTAACCAATCAGCAAAGAAATTCCAGCTGTATATAATTTCCTCTCCTCTGGAGAAAAAGAAAAGTGACCACATCAGTCAGATCTCAAAAACTTCACACACTTGTACCTCTGACTGCTGCATCTGCTCTAGGACTGCCCAATATACATCAAGTATAGCTCATTTTCCTGTTTAAATATCTCCTTACCTTTTTCAGTTGGAATTTTACCCCTAGAGTAACACAAAATTACAGCCTAGGAAAACAACCAGTTTAATGCCTTCTTAACTTAGGGATTTACTACCTGGAGCTCATCATGAAGGCAGTTTAGACAAACTTCTCTCACTTAGTGTTAAAAAAGAAGAGAAGTACTCACCCAGTCAGTTCACATTTAAGTGAGACACCCCCAGTCTCAAGAGAAATTCTGATCAGGGTCATCTTCCATGACAAGCACAAAGGGAGAGAAATTAACTACCCAATATTCTCCTCCCACACGTCATAATCATAGTTGCTGTCACCACAGCCAAACCTCTCTTCTCTTCTGACGACAGTGTCCTTTTGTGAATTGATTGATAATTTCTACTGAAACTGGCTGCAGCTATCCTATGCTACGCAAACAACTGTACCTAATGCCTCTTTGAACATTCCTCCCCTCAAAGTCTCCTGGACTCAAAACCATATCCATCTTCGACATGTCAAGGAACTCTGGATTGGTTGGTTTAGTCACAAAACATGGAACACTGACACTGCTAGGTTAAATACTGTAATTGGTTAGTCTTGTTCAGCCATCCAGAACAGAAACAGCCAAGTCGCTGCAGGTGCACCATGAGAACTTTCTAAGTTTCCATCACCTTTCCTAGGTGGCTATCACCACATTCAGCAATTCTCTCTACTGAGACCTAGAAACTTCCCTGCAATATTCAACTTGATCACAAATTTGCCACACATCCTAGCAGAGACCAATAAGCAAAAATCACTGCTCAAGCATCACCTAACCAAACTTAGCCCTATCTCATTATATTTTCTTAGTTATTTCACATAAATATTTAAAACATTTCAAAAATATTCTCTTAACATAGTCAGAATTAAATACCGCACAGGAAGCTGTGTGTGAAAGTCTTCAGTATTCCTAAGAAGGCTGTCCATCCTGAATGTATGGTTATGAATTTTATACCATTCAATTTGTGCAATAAAAGCAAACACCTAGTCTACCTGAAGCCTGGGTAAGAACTCCATCTCATGTTGTTGTTCCCTTCCAACAGCAAAAGGCCAAATCTGAGGCCAGTCTGTAGCAATCACAGTGCTCACACAACACTTGCAAAGAATCTGGATGTAATTACTGGGTTTGGTTCAACATCTGTACAAAGGTGGAGCTGGGATTTCTTCTTGTTTTTTCTTCTTTCCATTCATGTTAATTTTCTGTCCTCTTCCACTACAGGTTAGAGCCCTAAAAGATCAACATGAGGATCAGCAACACTGAAATACCTAGATTTTAGTCCAACCTTATGGAAACATCCAATGTAATTTTTTCATTTATTTAATCAGATTAAATGAGAATAAATATTTTGCCTTTTCCCTTTTAATGGCAAAGGTGGTCCAAAAGTTGCATAATTTCCTGACGTGGCTGTCTGAAATGCAAACAGTGGAAAGATTTCTTTATTTCAACCCTACTACAGAGCAATGCTGCATGGTTCCCACTAAGTTTGTTTTTAAAAGGCATTAGGTTTCTAATAACCTGAAATCTTTTTTCAAGTACTGAGAATGCACCAGGTTTCAACACAGTCAACTATGATTCTTCAGGAGCTGCTGACCTGCTCTGGTTTTCTAATTCCTAAGTTTGTGTTTGTTTTCACAATCATAAGCTTAACTTTGTGTGTGCTCACCTACCTTTAATAAGCTGCAAATACCAGAGGGGTTCCAAGTACACCAAGTTACACTTGACAAGAGAGTGATTCTTATACCCTCTTGTTCACAGTCATACATGAACACTTTCAAATATTCATCTGCTCATTTCTCTTCATAGTGGAAGACTGAGCCACTTAGAGATGGTCTTTTCCCTCTCCTTATTCCCACCTACACAGCAATGACTAAAAGAAAGATCACAGGCTCTTTTTGAGCCACCATATTTGTGTGTCAAAGTGCAGCTCTGCTTCCAGTTTATGAATTAATTTCTCACAAGGTCCTTTCCCGTGCTTCATCCTTTTTCTAACATGTGACATGCTGAGAGAAAGATGGGGAATTTTCCTTGATACATGCAGATGACTTGTTCTCCTAACACTTCATAGTGACTGAGAATCCCACAATTAACAGCAGCTTTCACCAGTGTGAAATATGAATGCCAGTTCTGAACCCTCTCATCCACACTGTTAGGTGAGATAGATATTCTAACAATACAGATTTAAGCTTGCCCTCTACTTGAAAGTGCTTTCCTGCTCAGGTTTGTAAATCCAGGTTATTTCACCCAACAAAGGGCAAACTGATGTCCCAAGGATATTAAAATTCCTATTAGAAGACTACTGGCACAGGGCAGACCTCTTCCATTTAAAGCATATGCTGGACTTGGTCAGTAGCCACCCGAGTCCTGCATTAGTACAGACCCATCACAAGTGATACAAATCTGAGAACCACAGGGAAATTTCAAGAGGGCGGCCAGTGTCAGCAGCTAGGGAGAGAACAACTTCCCAACACCTAAAAGACCTTTTCTCCAAGGATTCTTCCCTAATACCAGTGACAGCAAACAGACACAAGAGTGAAGGAATTCCACCTCTTCCAATTTAGATCAGAGGATACCTGTCATTGTAAGATGACACCATCCCAAGCTAGTCTTCTATTTAACCATTTACATCCTTCTCATCAGTCCCTCAGTTCATGTGCCTGTGGCCATGTTTTTTTTTCTTCCAGGCCTCCCAGCAGATGATCAAACAGCACAGCATCCATAACATCTATCTCTGTGTCATTAAGATAAACAGAGGCACAGTCAGCATTCCCCTTTTGGTACCTGGTTTTGACATCTTTCTCCTCAGTCACCTCAACTGAGAGTGCACTGTGGCATCACAAGCCAGCTCTCCATCTCTAACACTTGTTTTTCCAGTGGGCTGGCCCATTTCAGCAGCAGATAATGTGGATAACTTATGTCAATTGACTTTACCCACAAAATGTATCATCCTACAGTGTCTCCTCTTCCTCCTAGTAATCCCTCTTATGAGGATCTATTTTGGGAGTAGTAAAGGAAAAGAACAGAATAAAATTAAATAGAACAGCATTAGTCAGGATAGAGAAATGTTTGAGTGCAGCTGTTTGATCACAAGTTTCATCCCTATCTGGACAAATATAAAATTATAGGGGCACCTGGAAACAACTGGCAGAGCTGTATGAAGGTTGCCATTTCTATAAAGAGTCTGAGACCCACCTGGAAATGGAGCATAAGGTGCTCCTGTGAATTACCCAGATTCTGAAGGGGCAAGTGAACAATCATTCCCTGACAAAGTTACTTACAAACAACAGAGGTATGGTTGTTACACCTGAGGTGCTGCCTAGAGAATGACCAATTGAACTGTTGGCCTTTTGCATAACTGCTTCTAATAGACAACCTAAGTCAAAGACAGCAGTCAGCCACAACTGGGATGCAACTGAAAATCCACATGAAACTCAAGTTAGAAGTTCATCTTTGAGTACCTAAGTCAGACATGTGAGCCCAACAGTCAGCAAAGTATCCAGAAGCAGCCCCCACCACATCCCCCAAACCTGTGACTACTAGTAAAAAACATAGCATGTGGTATAAATTAGTAACAGCAGCAGAGACTTGTTTACTTCATTCTGCCCCTCTGCCACCACCATGAAAATTAATCATTTTATCTGATACAGCAAAAGTACAACATTGCAACAAATCAGTGCAGTTTTTAAAATCTGGAGCAAGTACAAGGCAAACAATTCAGGCTTCTCA